TCACAGCCATTCAAGCCACATGCACAATGGGACTTCAACAAAGGTTGCCACTGGTTGAGGTGTTAGGGGCGGATAAGTTGGTAGAATGAAGTGTCTCAGCAGTTAAGAAGCCCAATCTTGAGAGTCCAATTGAGTCCTTCTTCAATTTATTGGATTTCGGCAGAAATTGAGGTCAAACAGAATGAAGTCAGTTTTCTTAAAGGGAATAAAACAAATAAATCAATCACACACGATTAGTGACTTGATCGCCTCTTTAGGTGAGACTTTAGCGCTGTGCAAGTGAATTTAGCACTTCTTATGCAATGCCAGCCTTTTTGCACACTGCTGTTCATGGCTTCAAGTGCATATTTGCATATAACATGGTATCCATTTAAAATTAATGGGAAATCATCGATGTGAGTGGTGAATGGCCGATTTGGCATCTTCCAGGGACTGGCAGGGCGATAAATTAATAAATAGCTGATAGACGGGACTTGCCGGCCCCTTTTTCGCGAAAACCCGTGACGGAGAAATCGTGGTGTGTGTGTGTGTGTTTACCCATGGGAGAGAAAGAAAGATTATTTAGAAGGCATTATAAACACACAGGGAAGAAGAAATCGTAGAAAATCCAACCACGAAAGCATGAATATCTCATTGAACTTCTTTGGGGGATTTTATTGATGGCGTTTGCAAGTTATTACACAAGCAAACAGACGTGTGTGCCTCGGCACAGATAATATCCTCTCCTATGAGTTGAAGTTGGAAAGTCTTGGGAGGGGACAGAAAGAGTTAACACAAATATTTATTCAATTCTCCATACACTTTGATATTGTCTTTTTAATTATTTTAACCATTTCACGGCTATTTGTACAGACTCTTTCATCGCAATGTGGAATCGTGAGCATTCCCGATTCTCTCTTGCTTATTCCTATATGGTCTATCGCTCTGTCTCAAATCATTCCCAATGGAAGGTAAACACACTCATCATCTGCGTCGGGAAGTAATCTGCTGGTATTTGCATATTGAATCCCATCAATGTGACAATGGGGCGCCTCGAGGGGGGGCGCTCGCTTTTGGGGGCGAAAGACAAGGGTGGTTGGCTTCTAACAAGAAAATTGCATCAACGACTGATCTCAAGTCGTGCAAGATGAAAGGGGAATTGAATAAAAGAAGTGACATTCTCACCAGCAATGACCAATAAAGTTTATTTATCTTCCCCGACATATTTCAGCTTCTCTTCCATCAACCTCTTGACTGTGTTTGCGGACTCTCGCAGAAAAATTGAACATAAAACCCATCAAGCATTTCTGTGAGTGTCTTGCTGATGCTCAAGTCGGGCGAATATTCTCCTTGTACATCGCCTTCTTCATTGTTATTGACTCTAATAACATTTTATTTGCACTTTTTGTGGCATGGTGTGCATCATAAAATTGAATTATATCTGTCATGTGAATTTCTCTCTGGAGACTTCTTTTATTTAATTAAAGGCAAGAATAAAAACACATCTGAAGTGGGTACAAATTCACTTTGCTCTGTGGCTTTTCTGCACTTGAGATGGCTCGTCTTCGGAGAAAAATCCCAGCTCTTGAGGAGAGAAATGATAAATTGGCTGTGTGTTTTTCCACACTGGTGGAATTTTTCTCCGTATTTTTTTTTCTTTTTGACTCTGCAAGAGAAATAGGCGAAATTATTTACAAGCCAAAATCGCTGACTTGCCTTCGCTCGGCCATGCTTTGCGAGTGTGGGGGGTGGAAAACTTTTAAGCACTTTGGGAATGGTCTCCGTTGGCTGAAGAAATGTGCGCGCCTCTCCACTATGATTTAGAGTTAGAAATCCCCTCGTATCTCACGAGATGGACGGTGAGGCATTAAAAATACCAAACAACACCAATAAAATATGATAAAAGCCAACCACCCTCGGGCCCACACACACAGATTCTGGACAGCGATGCAGAATTGCGCGAGGGAAACTTTCCACTTTCGGGCCATAAAGTTGATGTGGATAGGGGTCGTAAAATGCCAGCAGAAGGGGTGAATTCCGGTTGAAAGCTGAAGCTATAAGGAAAACTGCATTTCAAAGGGAAACCCGTCATTCATCTATCTGTGGCTTTCGACCTAAATTTCATGCAATTACTCTAAGCAAGGCAGTATTTTTTCAGTGTGATATGGCAATGAGTAACAAAAGCCCATTATCTAAACAGCTTGATAAGGTTTTCTTAGAACATTATCTCACTAAACTATCACTTTATTGCATAGCAATAGAAGGTCAAGCAATGTGATAATCCTTTGATTGATTCTACTAACGTTGTTTTCAGTTATTTTTTGAAATCAATTAAGAAAAATCAACCTTGAATGACGTGAGAAAGTCTCAATTTCACTATAAAATAAAACTATGGGCATATGACGTCATTGTGTTAGATCAGAATCTCTATAAAGTTGTGTGACATTTTCCCAAGTAGTTATGCGCCCACTAACCGATGTGAGGCATTTCCTTGACCTTTTCCATGTCAACTTCCTCTGGTTGTATATATAATTTAAAGTGTTGAAAGTGATGAGTGTGTTTATTAATTCATGCGAAATGGCATTTTGTGATTGTTTCCAAGCACAAATATCCATCACAATGGCAGCCAAAACATTAAGTAAATCACCCGTTGGAGCTGAAATCCCTCATAAATTGCTTAAAAGAGTCTCTGGCGTTGGGTGAATAATTCAAATTGTGGAAAATTGTTTGTGAATGAGGTTTGGTGCCAAAGAAGAAATGAGCATTTTGGGGGCGCCGAAGCGCAATTTGGTGTGAGGGATGGATTAGCAATTTTCCCTCTCATTAGGAAAATTCATGGTGCGTTGTTGAGCAAGTGGAAGGGACAATTCCAGAGTGTGGGCAAAAAAGAGGTGTGCAAGAGCGCGCGCGAGCAATTGTAGTGAAATATGGCGGAAGTATTGCATGAAAGAGAGAAAAAAAATTTTTTTTTTTAATTTTTCCCCATGCAAATTTAATGATTTATCTGTACAGTCACTTTATTTATGTTGTACCACGGCTGGTGGCATCGTGTTAAAAAATATTTCGCACAACATTTTCCATATTTCACACGATGGGGTGGCTCATCCCCCACCCCCATCGTGCGCCAGCGTCATGATTTACACACTCTGATGATTTTACCGCCAAGAGTGTCGCCTCGCTTGGCGTTTTGTGGAAAGGAATGGCGAAGGAGAGTAATCAACGTATCATCGCCATAGCTATAAACTATAAAAGTTTCATTCGGCACCCGTGGAAGCCCTCTTTGTCACTCTTGATGGAATATTCAAATTAAGACTCTTGCGCGATTTATTTTATGATCCCCGGTGCCATCGTCAAAAAGTGCCTCTGCGGTGTGTGTGTGTGCGGAATCACCCTCGCCATGGAGACCGCAATTTTGTCAAATTTGAGGGTGTCAGCAATTGTGGGACAAAAAGAACCGCAGAAGAAATTTTCTCCGGTCTAATAAAACACTTCTTGGGAGCCCATTTCGACCTACCTCACCGTCAACCAATTACATTGACGCTCCGCTTCGCCACAATAACAACATCACCCGCCGAGGAGTAATTTTCTTCACGACAGTGAATATCGCGCGCGTTCTTTATCTCTCCTCCGCGCGGAATTCATCATGCGCTTGCACAGATGATCGATGAAAATTCAGCACGACCAAGAGATTAAATTCAACCCACAATTGCTCGACAAACTTTCGCCAAAGCTCTCTTCGGGGAAAGCATTAAGCTTTCCGGAGTGTATTTTTAGATGACAGCTCGATTACGAAGCTTGCTTGAAATATACATATGTTTATGCCACAATGCGAAGAGCTTTGGAAGGAATTTTTAATGCAACTTTATTTTTAAGCTGGCATCTGAAACTAGAGGTTTTGTGATGGAAAAGTCAAAACGATTTTAAAACCCTCTTAATGCGTGAAATTCAGTGGGTGTTTTTCCTTAACTCTTAAGAGACTCTTTATTTTTGAAACTAAATAAACACTCTGTTCATCAATTTGTGTACAATATTTGATTTTACACAATTCACAGTCGAGTAAAATGTGTGACAGAAATCATTAGTAGAATTTATTGATTTTTCATATAAATCCTCAGTACAAAACTATACTTAAATTCGCGTCCTTTTGCTGAAAAACCGGCAAATGAGAAATGAGTGAAGCATCTGCAGAGGATGATATTTTAATCTTCACGTTCTCCGGGTCCACATAATCTGGGGTGTGTTACACACTAAATGTGTGATTACTCTGTCATTAGTAATCCCCATGTCCGGAGTCCCGTTGTCACCGAAGTCAGGGGTGTTTTTCAGCAAGCCCTTGTGCGGTTTTCACAGTGGCCCAGTAGTCAGTGGGGGTGTTTATTTGTCCCGAGTGCACCTTGCAAACTGTACCATTCATCCGTGCCGAATGGGAATCATTGGGGCCAGTCTTCAATTAAGGTAGTTTGCTAGGACATTTTCGCAATACTCTCACCGTGGAGAATATCTCTTAAACAATACCACACTGGCCGTGGCAGTTCATCAAGTTCCAGAGGGTCTTCTGTTCAAATGGAAAATTACTGCTCGCAATTTGGGTCAACTCTGTTCGTCGCACAATTCCTCATTGATTTGCATCTCACAGACAGTGACTCCTTTTGTCAGCGCCGTGAATTGAAATTAATAATTTTCCATCGTGTCACTCCATGTATGCCACAGAGGGAGAGTGAAAAAACCCAATTACAGGACGCTTCAGCAGAAGCTCACAGCACGTTTCTCAGCACAAAAGTTTGCCTCTCACTTGAAATTGCTTAAAAATTTATACTAGTTTTCACATCTACTCTCCAAACTCGAACACAGGGTGTGAAATATGGCTTAAACACAGCTTCAGACTTTGCATTCCCAGGGAAAATTTGTGTCCCTGCCGAATAACAATGGAGTCTAGATTAGAAAATGCAACACAGAACCAACATTTTTCAACTCTAACATTATCAATATTAACCCATGTTTTTCCTCTCCTGTTCTTCCAGGTTGCGGCCAGTGATCGCGATGCTGATCGTGGTCGCAATGGCGATCATTTCGGCCATCGTCGGACCGACAGACGCCCTCGCAAACTGCCCTCAAGCATGTGACTGTGACGATGAGACTCTGGTGGTGACTTGCGGCGAGGGACACTTGGACGTCCTGCCCATCGCCCTTAATCCCTCAATTAAGCGTCTCGTGATTAAGAACAACAAGATCAAGATGATCGACTCGTCGCTGCAATTCTACGCCGAGCTGCTCTTCCTCGATCTCAGCTACAATCATCTGTTCAACATTCCAGTGAAGACATTCGGATACCAGAAGAAGCTCCAGGAGCTGCATCTCAACCACAACAAGATCGGCTCGATCAGCAATCGCACCTTCATCGGCCTCGCATCGCTCACAGTGCTGAATTTGCGTGGGAACTTTATCGATGAACTAGATAAGAATGTCTTCAGCGCCCTGGTGAAGCTTGAAGAATTGAATTTGGGTCAGAACAGAATTGCCAGGATCTCCGTGGGGGCTTTCGATGGGCTCACGAATCTGCGTGTGCTCTATCTTGATGATAATACCCTGACCAGCGTTCCTAGTGACGCCTTCCCGCCCTTGAGGGCCATTGCTGAGCTCTTCCTGGGCTTGAATTCTTTCACCACTCTTCCGGCGAGTGCTTTTGAGGCTCTGACTGCACTCTCCAAGCTTGATCTTCGTGGAGCGGCGCTGGCCAATATCTCCACGGACTCTTTCAAGGGTCTCGAGCAAGTGCGCAGCATGGATCTGTCTGACAATCGACTGCAGAGGATCCCAACGCGAGAGCTGAGCACACTGGGGCGCCTGGAGGAACTCTCCCTGGGTCAGAATGACTTTGAGGTGGTGCCCGAGGGCTCCTTTGTGGGGCTCACAAACCTCCGCCGCCTGGACATCACGGGATCTCTGAAGTTGCGCAAGGTCGAGGCTGGAGCCTTTGCCACAAATACCAACCTCGAATCCCTCACTCTGGCATCCAACAAGGCACTGGTTGAGGTCCAGGAGGGTGCTCTCAGTGGGCTTCCTCATCTCCGCCATGTTATTTTGAGGGACAACGCTCTGGTCACGCTGGCTGAGGGTCTGTTCCCCTGGGCAGAACTCCACACTCTGGATCTCTCTGAGAACCCGCTCGTCTGTGACTGTCGCCTACTCTGGCTAAGGCAGCTATTGGTTAGTCGCTCGAATGGAAGCCAGCAGCCGGGAAGTGTGATCTGCGCGGCTCCCGAACGTCTCCGAGAGGAACCTTTGCGTGCCATCTCGCCTGAACTTCTTGGCTGCCTGCACACCGACCCGCGACGACAGGCCATCATTGGAGCTCTGGTTGTAGGAGCAGCGGCCACTATCACTGCCCTCGCTCTCATCCTCTATCGCTGCCGCCGCCGAATCCGTGAGGTGCTCAAAGGAGGCTGGGGCCAGTCAGCGCTAGGCCGCAAGGAACGCGAGTACCAGAAGACCTTCTCCGCCGAAGAGGACTACATGTCGCGCCACTCGCACCCATGCAGCCTGGCCGTTCACCCCACGCTCACCGGCTACGGCCACCACCATCCTGGACTTCGGCCAATTCCTGTGACTGAGCTATAGCTAGAAGCGCCGCCGCCGCCACCCAGACGCGGCGCCCCGCAGCCCCCAGGCGCGGCGGCCTTTCTGCAGCTCAGCCAGGACCATCTGATGCCGAAGCACCCCAACGGAGCCATCAACAACTACACGCCGCCACTGCCGCCGGATGGATTCCACACGCTCTCGGGGCCAGCGCTGCCAATGCGTAACGGCCACCTCACCGCCGGCCGGAGGACAGTCTCCGGCCGTCACTATCACTGATCCACCCACCAGGAGCTCCGCGATGAGCCGGTGTAAGGTGAACAGTGCAGAGCAAAGACTTGATTTGTATAAAACGGAGGGACGCCACTTGTGAATACGTTTATATTTTCTAAGTTATGTATATATAGAAAAAAAATTCTGATCTAGAATACCTTTTGAAATCCACATTCTATCTCACAGTCATAGTGAAGTTCATTCGTTGCAAGAAACAAAAAAAAAACTCTTTGACAAGACACTTATACTTAAAGAAAATATCAACAATGAAGGCAGTGGAAGCATGAAGTTGTGCATGCGCGCGATTTCGCGGGCAGGCACTGTCTATTTATAAACTAATGTAAATACCTTTAGACGTAATTCGTCGTTAAGACACTCTCAAAAATATTACAAGAATTTTCTCAGCGTGAAGAGATAAATTAAATCTATGAATGTAATTATAGTCAGTTATACTTGAAAAGAAAGAAGCACTAAGACAAAAGGTATCTTTAAATGTAAATTTATGGTAAATACCGTTGCCATTCTCGCACTTTTGTCCGCCACTGGTCTGAGAAGAGGTGCCCAACGAAACCCACAATAGTTAGACATATCATTGGTCAAAAAGTGACAAAAAGTGGCACATTTTGGCGGCAAGTTCTGGGCGATTTTGGCAACTCACACACACACAGAGTATTCCAGACTCGAGGCTCAATTCCATGAGCCAGGATGGATTCGCGGTGGCAAATTGAGTGAGTGTAATTGAACACAGTCACGCCAGTGGCCCATCTAAAGGGGTCAAAAGCTTAGAGAAATTCCTGGGCAAAAACACCCGCGGAATAAATCACATGAGCTCGCCAAACCTGTTTCATTGGCTTGTGCGTCGATTTGAGCGTGACTGCAATTGCTCTGATGATCATTTTTTTCTCGCGCAAAAACCTCAATTGCATTCTTCTGCGCGGCCAAATGCAGCCCCTCGGCAAAGACGAATCGACTTTATCCCCACAGTGGACTTTTTGCATCGCGCATCTTTGCCCAACATCCATCATAGAAATCCACAACAGTATAAATGCTATTTTTAATGCGTCTCTGTCTGTTTTTCCCCCACGTTTCTCATCTTTTCTGCACTCTTGTGCGCGCCGAACTGAAGCGTAGCGGCTGAAGAATAGAATTCCTCTGTGAATCTCCTCATGTGTGATGTCTGTGCTGTGCTAACATGTTATCCTTATCCAAGTGTCTTCCTTGGTAATTGACTTCAATTCATTACTTGTGCATACAGAAGTGTTGTCGAGAGTTAAATTTGGGCAGGGAATAGCAAAAAAAAAACCATTATTTCTCTGCAAATTCAAGACACAAACCAAGAAATCTTGAAATCTTGGTTTTTGTCTTCAAGTCAGAATGTGAAGTCAATTCTCATATCCTAATTGTGAAGTTTACTCTGTGACATTGTCTTTTCCCTCTTCCACAAATATACCCAATTTCCCTCATAATATCCCACCGCTGAATCCACAGCCGCCGCGTCGGCGCTCACCTTGTTGTGCACCGAAAAAGCCTAGAATTCTGTACATATATATATGTTTTATTGCACGCCCAAGATCACGAACTTCCACTTATATTTCTCTGGGGCTCTCTTGCACCTCGTCCCGCGCGGATATTGCGGCTTCCTGGGCAGAAAATGGAAATAGTCCACGCGAAAAAAAAAGGAACGACAAGAGCAGAGGAAGAAGTTCACGGTATATGGAGGAGATATAAATAAAAAATGACGGTAGAATTTATAATAATTCACCCGGAGGCACTTTATGATTCGCCATTTGACTCTCTTGCCATGTAATTTCGTGCAATTAAATCCACATCTAATTACACTCTGGTGGAATGTGTGTGCGCGCACAGACGGGGGTGAAGAAAGGGGTTGACTTTGGCGCCGAAATCAAAGAGACTGGCAAGGAGCGAGAGAGCAATAAGTCACATTTGGGTGATCATCAATATCATGGCAAAAGGGCACGACCTTCGGTGATGTATGGAAAAAAAAAATGCTGGGCTCCCAACTTTGTTATGTCTCACTTTTCCAGCGACAGAGACAAATTGTGGCAAATATCGAAATTGAGATTTGTTTTCAACTGCACTCACTCCAAAGTGCCGCCGAAGAATCCACCCTCAGTATGTAATCTTAGACACAATGATGAGAGCAGAGTATTTGACGTCATTGAGGAGAGATCTTAAAATATCTAATACAAGTTTTTATGCAAGAGAAAGTACACGAGAGCGAGAGAAGAAGCGAATTGTGAGAATTTTTCGAAGGTGAAATGAGTAAATTTTGTAATTGTATAATTAATTTAATGATGAAAGATAAAGAAAAATGATAATATAACTTTAAGATTTGACTAGTCAAGAGGAGGAGATGAAAACAAAAAAAAAATTGATAAGACATAAACAGGAATGTTATATATGTAATAGTGAAATAGATAAAGAAAAAAAAATTCAATGAGCCATCATCAAATTGTCCAAAACTCCCCCATAATGAAAAAGTAAAATTGAAAGATAATCATATTTTCTTGCCGTGTATGTTCATAATCACATCGACATAGAGACACAAACGAAGTTGTATTGAATGTTATAAAAGTAAAGCAGTGTATCCACCAAATATGATGAATTTCTGTGTAACTGGATCAACCGAGGATAATCCTCTTAAATGTAAAAGACATCATGAGACACTCTCAAGCATATAAACTATTAATAAAACAGATGCATTTTCCTTCGTGGATCAAATAAACATTAGGCGTTTCATTTGTCATGCGGAAAAGTCATGATAATCTCTAGATTTGCCATTTATTGAGCTATTGGTTTCATCAGAACACAGAGAAAATATTGAACTCGAAGGTAAGTTGTGATTGCTTTCTTTCTTTGCTGAAAAATGTTTAAAATTGTTCGTGTATCTCAGATGTTTAGCATGAATAAACTAATAATTTTGTAACAATTATAAACATAAACGTGTAAAATTTATTTGTCGATTAAAATACAATCAATTTTCCAAACAAACAATCATTAATCGTTCGATCCTGATTCACACTAGACTCTTATTTTGAAGTCTAAATTGAGCACACAATCACTGGATGGCGCTTTTCTGTCCATTAATTTGTTAAGACATCAACTGAAAAGCTCGTAGCTTAAGAGATTCAAGCTCCCACATTAGCAGAGACACCCGAAAGCTCGTTGCTTTATCAGAAATGCGATCACTGAGTGGTGAGTATATTGCGTGACCAGGTATTTTCCCGCCAAGCCGCAAATTGGGCGCGGCGCGCTAAACGATGAAGTCACCACGCGAAGGAATTGCGTCTTTCTGGGGGAAGAAGCACACAGAATTCAGGTGAGTTGGGCGCTCTCACGTCACCCACACTCCCTCAAGATGCCCACCAACACAGGCGTTCTCACTTTCAATCCGGCGCGACTTTGGGAAGTGGTGGAGGAAAAAACTCACTGAAAGATGGAAACTTGTTTTATGATGCCATCGCAACGGCTCCTCACCTCGCCACGTCCCGCGCCGACAGAAGGCGCACACACTCATGGATGTGCGATTGTATCTCCCATTTCCACATTCTACGTGAGCCGTATTGAAAACATAATTGTTGAATATATTTTCGAGCGGCTTTTTCTCTGACCACCACACTTTCGAGGCGGCCAAACTTGTGTCCAAAGAGACGCGCGTTCAGTTTGTTTGTAACGCTCGTTCCACACGGTTTCTCTGCCTCTCTCTCGTGCTTGGGCTTGGTGTGGTGAAGGAAAGGCCCAAAAAAAGGGGGAAATCGGTCACATTTGCCACACAAATTGATTCAGTTTTCGGTCTACAGTTTATTATTACTTCCTCGCTTCCAGCTTTTGGGGAAATTGCCGGAGAAGTGCCGCCGCGTTGAACACGGACTGTAAGTAGAGAGACAACTGTGATGACTTATAAGGTTGATTTGCATTCTTGTGACTCAATCGCGCGACATCCGAAATGGAAAAGTGCGCAAAATATGTGTGTGAATTTCAAGGCGAAGAAAGATGAACAATAAAGTTATTCTGTTTTCTCCAAAGCACAGTCAGAAATTCGGCAAAAACATGCTAAAAAATTGTGAAAAGAGAGGAAGGAAAATATTTCTTCTCCTCCACACAATCTCACATCTTCTGGTAAACTGGTTTTACCACTAGAATGTTATAAAAGGCGTTGACGCGCACTCCATAAACCCATGCCACGATCGTAAATGCACTTTTCCTGTAAATATTGGCGGAATTGTGCTAAAAATACAGTCGCAAGATGGATTTTTCATCAATGGGCACATGATTTCCCAATCAAATGCACATAAAATGTATCATTCTTTTATTCATGGAGCTCTAAAAATATAACCCACTTCAGACGACGACGATCTTCTGACGCTCACCTTCTTTTTCTCTCGCCTCCCAAATTTACACACAAGCGCACACAGAAGAATTAGGCACAGCCAAAATGGCAGGATGAATACCTTCACCCATCTTGAATTAATTCTCCTCAAGGTGGCCACAGAGCGAGACCTTAAGACAATCCGAAGCACTCACTTTTGCTCCCGACCAAAAATTCACACTGCAAAACTCATAATGCTTATCATAGCGCTCGATCAAGCGTCGCTTGGTTTCAAGAACGCCTAACAAAACACAGTCAATTGGCAGAGAACTTAAAACGACGATGTGATTCACAAGTGTTTTTTAAAGCGAAATAGTGTGAATATTAATGATTTTTGTCTAGAAGGAATGTCTTGTCAATGATTCATAATTATGTTGTTATTCCAGTTTGCAAAATCACTTTAATGTGTTCGATGCTGAAGAAAGTATATTTTCAGAGGCACGAAAGCTCAGGAAAACTGTAAACAAATTAATATAATCTTGCTGTAAAAACATTTCCAGTATATATTAAATGTCGACATAATCCAAGTTTTACTTAATATAAGATTTCATGTCAAAATATCACATCTAAATTGTAGATTTTCCAACAATTTCGTGATAAAGCGACCAAAGAGATACAAAGAGAATAATTTCACACAATAATTGTACCTTCATAAGAACGTGCGAAATGCAAATAACTCAACTTTTTGATATGCACACGTGAAGAGTGTCATTTAATTGTGCAATTCTCAAAACATGACTCTGCCTATACGGGATGAATTTGCATTCCAATAGTCGCGCTTTCGCATGTTTTCCACTCTACCCTGTACAGTAGAATTACAATTGACTCTTTTTCATCGGCCCGTGGATAATTTGGACATAATTAATGGCATAAACACGCGTCCGCGAGTCGATAAAGTACAAACGCCTGGCGTCTGTGCAGTATCAATGTCTGATCAAACAACACTTCCCATAGGAAGGCACCTTTCGAGACAGAGTGAGAGACTTTGCGAAACTTTCACTTCTCGTGGTGTGTCAAAAGCTCAACTTGAAGTGGTTGAAACTAGAAAATGAATTTCACAGTGGCGAGGCAAAGTGTCTCAACAAGCCTCAAGGATGTCCCCACACGGACGGACACTTCAAATGCTCGCGGCATTCGCGAATGTAGTGCAAAATCATAAAATTCCAACATCTGCGCGAGAAGGGAGCAAGTGAGCAACACTTTGCGGAGTCTTTACCCATAAACTCATGACATCAGCTCCAATGTAATAAGGTCAAGGTTGAGAAATAAGAGTTATTTAGATGATTTTTGCATTGACTGCGTCTATATCTGGCCAACACTTCAACGTGACGCACAACTTTTGTCTCACGATCTCACGTGTTGACGGAATGATAGTGCAAATTGCGTGATTAATCGTAAAATAGCCACTCTATTTACCTTCACCAATCTTCCACAGATTAACTTGAAACGAGCGACAAGATGGGTTCCGGCGGGAGGATGGACAGCTGCGGCCAGTGCATGAAGTACAGCATGTTTGGCGTTAATTTCCTCATTTTCGTAAGTATTCAGCAAATTGAGCTGAAGAAGCATTTTCATGCGCATTGTTCTCTCTCTGTTTCTCTCTTTGCAATCAAGATCTGCGAAGCTCATTTTTTCCAAACAATTACCGCGCTAAGAGTGCGCAATTTGGCTCAGGGCGTGAGAAAAGAAGTCTGCAAGCAGACACTGGTTGATGAGTAAACAACCCTAAACCACGTTTAATTGATTTCCCTCAAACCCAATACAGAAATCCTTTCAGAGATCATTTGTTTATTTCAATCCAATCTCCAGATAAACAACTTCCAATGATCAATGATGATGGCATTGCGAAAGTTTAGTCACACAGTTTCAGACATATGTTTTGTTGATCTTCCACGCAATGTCACACGATGAGGAAAAACTTGGGAAAAACACAGGGTGCATCATAGATTGATCGGGTCAGAATCTGACCCGCTGTTAATATTTGAAGTAACAATTAAGCGATCGTTTGCGTATTTCTTTTTTTTAATGCAAATTCACCGAACAGACTTTTGCTTTGAGAGAGATGTGTACAATTTAATTAGCTTTCATTTAATTTCAAGTGCCTCAGCAGCTAATTTAAAAAATAATAATTCATTTACATTTCTCGAAGAACAGAAAAAAAACAGAAATTGATTATGATTTCATGCATTTGAAGATTTACACTTTCTCATCAAGATCTTCCTCAATTTTGCTTGAGAGTCTTGAGAGGCTCAAAGGGCTCAAAGTTAAGACATCTTTAACACAGAATATACTCCCAAACTCAGTGTAATCTTGAGTAAGACATCGAAATTTGAATTATGCGCAGAGCTCTCATATCTTCAAATTCAGCCCATCACCACTAATTAAATTGATCATTAACCGCCCTCCTCTTGCTCTTCTCCTCAGCTGGGCGGCGCCGTGGTATTCGGCCTGGGCCTGTGGACGCTCATCGACCAGAACTTCGCCAGCGAGCTCTTCGGCACGAACCTCTTCACGGGCGCCGTGTGGGTGCTGGTCATCACAGCCGGCATCACCTGCGTCGTGTCGTTCTTCGGTTGCATGGGAGCCGCCAAGGAAGTCAAGTGTATGCTGCTCACAGTAAGTTGGGCGTGAAATTCCGCTCGTGATTTCATCGAAACGAGTGTCAATTGGAAAGACCTCACATCAAAAAATGGAGATCAACTTGATCGCCACGTGGTTGTTTGTATAGTTTTTCTTCCCTCTCTCACTCTGCTAACGCATTGACCCTGGCCCTGTTTCTCATCTTTTTCTCACCGCCACAAATGCCTTATAGTCAATGAATCCCCCATTTAGGAATGGGCGCAGTTGTGGTGACTCAATCTGTGCGGTTGACTGGCAATTAGCAATGATTAAGCACACATCTCTTCCCTCGCGCAGTACTTCATCATCCTCTTCCTGATCTTCGTCACAATGCTGATCGGCGGCATTCTGGGCTACGTGTTCCGGGAGAAGGTGAGCCAGACGATGCGTCAGGAGATGCACTCCTCCCTGCGTCTCTACGGTAATCGCTACAGAGTCACTGAGGCGTGGGATCAGACACAGCGTCGTCTGCGCTGCTGTGGCGTGGAGTTCTATCGCGACTGGACGCTGCACGGTCGCATCCCCGAGTCGTGCTGCCAGGAGACGTTCGGTGGGCAGCGCAAGCCGTGCGTGGAGTCCCCGACGCCGGCCAACATCTACAACAAGGGCTGCTTCAATGTCACGGCGACCTACGTGCGTGATCACGCGGCGATCGTCGGCGGGGCCGGCATAGGCGTGGCGATTCTAATGGTAAGTTCGCACTTCACCACTTTAGCGCCAAGCCTGGCCAAATGACTCACTTTCTCCCCTTTTCCCGCAGATATTTGGCATGATATTCTCATGTGCACTATTTAAGATGATAGAGTGACATCAGTACAATGCATATTTCTTCGACTTCCGAAGCTGAATCTCACAATATAATGTCTTTATTCTCACACGAAGCCCTCCAATTTATACATCGTATGTTCTTTTTTTGAAGAAGAAAAACATCGTGCACTTCTATTTTACATTGAGAAGTCCTTTCTCTCTCTCTCTAAATGTCCCCATTATGTTTTAATTAAATCTTTTAAGCGATAAGTGAAACGCCTGTAATCTCTTTTTTTTGTATGTGTACGTAAAGTTCTAAGCAATAAAAGTCCACAAAACGATAAACTCTTTACAAATTCTTTATTCTCAAAACTTCCTCCTTAATAATCCTAAACAAATGGCTCCTAATGTTGGTTGACGAAACAAGAATTTTTTACATTTCACAACAGACTAAAAGGTAGAAAAGACTTTACAGTGAAAACAATTCGGCCGATATGGATTTCAACACAATTAGGCGATTAATCTTATGTTTATCACAGAAATTAGAGATAAAGACAATGTTAACGTGCAATATTCGACCATTTTCCTTATAATAGATTTTCTTTTGGGTCACTGCGAAAGTCCTGATGAAACAACGTTGGATTGATTTTAGCGTGAGTGGAGTAAAGTATCTTTTATTGCACCCAAAGCAGCTAAAAAGCACCGGAAATGTTCTTTTATTATTGCTTCGTTTGTTTTGTACGCAGATTAGAACCATATCAAATGGTTTTTTTGATTTTTAGAAGACAAAAACACTCATTAAAAGTGTGAGAATTCCATAAAAATTGCGTGTATCATATTTAATAGTAGATTTATAAAGCATTTCGAGAGAAGAGCTTTAATAAATCAGGAAATCCTCATCAAAAAGACTCGACAGAGCAAAACTAATGTGTAATTTATTTTAAACAGCATGAAAATTGTAAACAAAAAGTATTTCTGATGTTTTAGAATCTCAATTAAATATTTCTTGAAGGATTCTAATAATTTCTGAGTGATTCAGAATGGGAAAAAAAGCGAAAAAACGGATAAGGAAATATCCTTCTAAACAGTCTTCAAGACTTCTGCTGAAGACAAATGAAGAAATTGTATTAAAATTACTACATTTTCATACAATTTCAATGCACTTTGTGCAGCATGAGAAATTCCAGTGTGGAAATATTCATTCTTCATGGTATTTCTGACCACCAAATAGTTGTCCATCAAGACTTTTGGCAGTGATTAAAATAGTTACAATTAAGAATATCTCTTTGCAATTGGACAAAATGTATGCTTCAAATCCCTGATCAATTGTTATTCTGTGAATTTGTGCTTCACTTCTCAGATGTATCATTAATGTTAGGCATAAATTTGTGGTACAACATCGAAAAGTTTGTAAATGCAGGTAAGAAATTCAAACCTTGAACAGGCGCGTTCGGATTTATCAATCATCGCGCTCACGCGTGGCGCTTGGCGATGACACTGGCGATGCTGATGAAGCAGAGGACGAAGAGCACGAGCCCGGTGGTGATGTAGATGGACGTGACGAGCCAGAAGGAGAAGAGGTACAGTGACTTGTTGCAGTACTTCCCCTTTGCCGGATCGTAGTTCGGCTCGTACTCCTTGTACACCCAGTAGGAGCCGATGATGAACCAGCCCAGCATGAAGCAGTTGAGCAGCATCTGCGTGGACGACTGGCGCATCTCCTCGGCGGCCTGCTCCTCACGCGTCCGCACGCGCGTCGACAGGTGCAGCAGCTGCTTGATGACCCCGAAGCCGCCTGCGATCAGCGCGCGGTTAGCATTGCATTGGCGGGGAGAGTTGATCTCCAGCGCTACTCACCTCCAACGAGAAGGTACACGGGAATGTATTCACCTTGCGGGCAGTCGTACAGGTAGATGGAGCCGAAGACTATCATACAGATTGGCACAATTGTCGTGGCGCCCAGGATAACGGTGAAACCCACTGAAAGGGAAGAAGAAAATTTTCTGTAGCCTTGAACACTCGCGAAGGTCACCATGCTTACGGGTGCCGAGCAGGAGGATGACGATGTTCTTCAGGAAGTCCACGAAGCCCTTCGATGATCTGTGCACCTCACGGACGCGCCCAAAGAGGGAGTCGTAAGAGGGCGGCGGCGCTGGAAAAGCCCAAACACACACACACACATCACAATTCGCTTCCCTGCTCCGGATCACACTCGCCTTACCATCGGGATCTATGGCTTCCTCGTAAGTCGGCGGATCGCCGAGGTTGTGAATGGTCGTGGTGGGCGGCGCATGGGGCTCACTCGTCCGGGGACTGGAGGTCATCATCGATTGCTGATAAGACGGCAAGTCGGAAGATGTTGTCTGCGACTGAGGAGAAGGTTTTCAGAGGCACTTTCAGGCAATTCTTGGGGCTTATCTCACCTCTTGCGCGTACACTTCATTGTATCGTGAACTGGGAATTGATGCCATTATGATTTTCCACGAGAAATCAGGAAAAACACGTAAAAACATGCATTTTATCCAAACAAATCTGATATCTTGCCTGTCAATCTTCCAATAGCCTCAATAGCCTTATTTAGAGGTGTGAGTCGAGGTATTTCTGGCGGCGGTGTCTTTCCACAATTTACAGATTTTGCATTAGAAAATAACAAAATTTGCTAAAATTAAAACATCCAAAAAGTGTGATAAAGGCATAAAGAATTATAAGAAAATCGACATTCTCAATAGACTCTCATACTGAAACGTCACTGGATTATTCTGACAGTTCAATCGCTGCGCGACGCGCTTATAAACATTGAGATTTCTCTTCAAAGGATTCTCTCAAAAATACTAGCGTATCCTTGGAAACAAACGTGAAACTTGGAAAAGCAGTTCTCAGCTGTTGAGGAAGATTATTACACATAAAGCCTTGGGGGAAGAGACAGTGGTTTAACTGGACGCTACTTCTTCTGGAGGCCCGAATGGGGGGTGATTTGAAGTCTTTCGCCCTGAAGCAGAGGGTGTTTCTGGTGAAGAACTACTACCAGTACATGGGAGACTACCTGTGCGTGAAGACAAAATATGAGGATCACTACAAAGACAGCCTGGAGTGTCCTGCATTCTCCTATGACATCCTCATGGAGATCATCAATATGTTCGAGAGGACAGGAAGCGTCATCAAAACAGAGAGTTTTGGCGAGACAACTATTCAAAGCCGACCAATTGAGAGTGTCTTCCTGAGAGAAGAGGATCCGGTGTCAACTGTGGGTGTGAAGGTGGAAGATCAGAAGAAACAGGTCATCTTCGAGGTGATCGATGCAAATGATATGCTCTGGGAGTCAACAGCTGAAGAGTATTCAGACCTCGAGTCAGACGATGAGAAGCAGAAATCCGCCAAGAGCAGTCAATTGGAGCCTCTGCATAAGCGTGTTTGCCACCCATGCGAAAGAGTGTTCCGCAAAATTGAGGAACTGGAGAAGCACAATTCGGCAGTGCATCGACAGAAGGCCACAACGAAGCCAACTCCTGCCAAAAGGAAGTGTCCAGCCTCGTCCCAGCAAGATGTTGCCACTGTGATGCTGCATCCCTTGTACGACAACAAATTCAGTGACATTCTGCGGAAGCTGGATCGGCTGTTGTGTATTCAGAAGCGTCAGTCAGCGAGCAGCTCGCCCAGCACGCCCTGGACGTCCACCGCGCTCTACACGAGCATCGAGGACGAAATGGATCTCAGATTCCCCATAATGACCAAGGAGCAGCTGGCCACGTACAACAGCCGATTGGCTGATGCGAGCTACAAACAGAGCTTCATCCAGGAGCTGAGCAAGGTGTGCGGAGTCTCCGGCACGGCGGACGGAACAAAAGTCGCTTACAGACTGTCGGAGCACATGTTCGATCGCGCGCTCCTCACTCAGTTTACCTGGACAGGGAAGAACATGAACAATAAATTAAGCACCTCGGGGAAGGAGGCCTTCAGTCAGTACACACACTTCGTCGATACCTACGCGGAGATCGTCAGGCTGGCGGACAATCAGTACAGCAACATGGACAATGAGAAATTCTTCAAGGTAAAGCTCCTCAAGTATGCAGGATTTCGATTGAAGCAAAAGCCTCGCTGAATCTTTCATTTAACTCACATTTTTATTTCTCATAAAAATACAATCTTGTTTTGTACTCTAGTTGTCAGTCTATTCTATTGAATGCCTCTTGGATGCTTTGTGTGAATGTTTGTGTAGCTAAAAGACTCCCGGAATCAATGCCTTCCGGGACTTTGGGTAGTTGGGAAACGCCTCGCGGTACCAGATGTGTGTGAAGTGCGCCACTTGAGCCTGATTCGCGATTACCCAGGCGGTGACCAGGAGCCAGTCAGTGTTGCCGGCCAGCGCTGGCACGAGTGCCACGTACATGAGGCACTCGAAGGACATGTGGGGCGACGAGATGAGGTCGAAGAATCCGCCCGCGGGCATCAAATGCTTCTCCGTCACCACTTGTCCAGAGGAGTTCTTCCGCAGGCGCGCCAAAGAGTCATTTGCGCGCCATTGCTGCCGCCAAGCAAAGATGAACACCACTGCAGAAGTGATGACACGCCAGTTCAGCTGAGCCCATGCCAGATGAGCACTTACCGGCGTCACGAATCCCTCCGAGTGGGCAAGAATGGCCACAACAGCGCCAAAATAATGCAAATACCCCACCAGATAGTGAGCTACGTTGATGCGGCTTGATTTGGAGAAGACCTGCACGAAGTGAGTCTCCCAGAAGCGTCTCAAGCACTGAAGCAAGAGACAACTGGTGGCCAAGACAGTCGTCAAGGCATTTCCTGTAAAGTTCATTAATGTTAGTCAGGAGAACTACCACTTCACGCGGGCTCTTACCTTTCACCGTGCGCTTCTTCCCACAGAAAAAGTCCAGGAGCACCAGCAGAGTGTCTGGCGGTGATTTTCCTCCTACGTAAGTGCGCATGACGAGGTAGAAAGTGAATCCGGACAGGATGAGAGCGAAGACGTAGAAGTGCCTGAAAGAGGACTTCGGGATCTCCAGACGGTCAACTAGGGCGTTTCTCCTGGCCTTCAGCGAGTGCTTCCCATAGCGAAAGGTCTGCGTGAGGAAGGCTGGCAGATGAGGCTCAACAGCGCTGACCAGGCATCCCAGAAGCATCACACTGGCTATCATGCTGCTATAAAGCAGCTCCATCGGCGTAATTTCCCACATTTCGCCAACTCCACTGGAAAATCACTGTGTCTGAGCGTTCTTCTCACGTTGCTTCTCACTAATTGGCCGAAAGAGTGAGGGAAAATTGTACTTTTAGGTAAATAACAGAGGTAAATAGAATGGGCTCGTTCGGCATGTTTGTTTTGGTTATTTTGACACGTAAACAAAACAGTGCTGTCAGCGCCTCTAACGGCAGTATAACAGTTTGCCGGAATTCAAGATGTCAAAAGGCAAGGAGCGCGATATCGTGAAGATTATCTTCCAGAACTTCCTAAAGTCCATTCGGCCGCGCAAATTCAAGGGTGAGCTGATCGGCGAGGACACCTTCGGCAATAAGTTCTACGAAATCGCGGCGGATCCGGTAAATGGACGCAGAAAGAGAGCGAGATACTTTGAGCCCATGGAGAAGGAGGCTTTCGACCAGGAAATGTCTGCAGAGTGGGAAGCTTGGCTTCGCGGAAGACGTCAAGAGGCGCCAACTCCCGAGGAATTGCTGCAGAACCTTGCCATCGCTCAGATAAAGCAAAGGAACGCCGCATTGGTGGAAGAATCACGAGGCAAAGGGAAGGATGTGCAGCTTCTGAACAATGAAGAGAAGGGCATGAGATCATTTCCTTCTTACGGTGATGAGTATGAGTTCTCAGCAGGTGTATCACCGCCCAAGGACAAGAAGTAACTGCTAAGATCTGTAGATAAATTGTAAATATATAGGATTTGTTGCGGATTTTAGCAATTTTTCCAAAACCATGTGAACATCACGCCTTGAGACGCAGCGGTTGGTATTGAAACTTCATTTGACGTCTATTTGTTTTGTTTACACCCATTTTCACATCAATTTTCTCTTGGAAAATCCTTTTAACAAGCACTTTGGCGTGTAGGAGAAGACAGTTTAGATCTTCCATGACTTTTCTAGATATTCCACTTGAAGATCTGATGATTTCACACTTGGCAAAACACCTCAGTTTGTAGGACATTTTCTCTTTGCGAAGTTGCTGGACGATGTAGGAATTTGGGAAATGCGGTCCTGAAGGCGAGACAGAAAGGAAACTCTGCTCGTTATTGTGAAGAATTGTAGGGCTTTGAACTATTTCTCCTTGCCACATTACGTGTCAAAGCAGGAAGACGTGCTCAAGTAAAAGGCAGATAAAATTGCCTGTACATTAAGATTGTCAGTAGACACATTTATTCACAAAATCATCGCGAATTCCCTATCTGGAGATGATTTCCTTCTAAGAGCGAGCAGTTCTTCCTCAAAACACGTACAGATTCTTGAGGGACAAGAGAATTGAGTTATTCGGCTATTAGTATGGAGACAGTGAATCATCAGAGGAACACTCATCTGACGACAATTAAATAAAAATGGATGAAACTACGACTTCTTGGACTTTCCTTTTGTGTCCTTTGGCGGCTTCGCGAGCCTCTGCTTTTGCATGTCTTTGAGGTTCTCCTTGAGTTTCACGTGCAACTTGGCAAGATCTTCAGCCTCACGGCGCGTCTTTTCCGGCACTGGATGAAGGAATTTCTTTCGCTCATCCTTCTTGATAGCTTCCCCGCAGCCGTGCACTTCCGGTAGGCCGTGCTTGAAGCAGAATCTCTTCCTACAGTAGTCACAATCCTGGCCCATAAGCGATGTCTTCTGCTTGCACGTCTTATAGTCACAAAGGGAGTCAATAATGTGGACAGAATCCAGAACATCAGTGAGATTCTTGTTCACCACATCCGTGGGTATCTCCTTCACCATCGCTCCTGAGTCATTGACGCCCGGCCGATAGGTTTCCAGGATGGGATTACTCATCTTTTGACCAGGTGCTTCTGCAAATGCCGTTTCCTGGCTTTCCTGCTCACTTGTGACAACTTCCGAAGCCGATTTCTTCTTACGCTGTCGCTTTTTCTTGCAGCCGCCCTCGTTCGATGCTGCAATTGTTGAAGAATTGCTGATTATTGTGAAATTCTGCACATTTTTCCAAAATACCCACCCATTGTTTTGACCAGCAGCGCAGAACTTTCCGAATGTCCAGAGCTTTCAAGATGGCGCCGCCTTCGGAATGTCAGTCGAATGTGCCCGTGAAAATTTGCGATATAGCACCGTCTCACTCGCACTCGTGCAAAGCGGATTGATGTGCGAGTGCGAGGAATAGCTTTTGGGCAGAAAATTCCACGCACGTTTGTTCGTGTCAAATCGAAGTAGAGTTCAGTCGGAAAGAAGTCGCCAGAAAGGGTGGAAAACGGCGATTTTCAGCTGAAAATTGCTCATTCTTAAAAGTGGTGGTCCTCTCTCTCGCGGTCAAAGCGCCCACGACACCCAAATCAATCCAGTGGAGCACTGTGAACCGTAAAAATCCATGCGTGAGAGACAGTAGAAGCAAAAAGGAGAAAAAGTGTGTGTGCAGAGAAATGGCAGAAAGTGACAAGTTTTTCGAAGGTGTGGAGAAGCTGCTGGAGATCTGGTTCAAGAAGCCACCTGCCAGCAAGACTGCTGACTTGAGGAAGATCCCACGGTGAGTACCAATTCATCCAGAACACTCCCTCCGACCCTGCAAGAGCGCACCGAGAGACAGCCGGCATTTTCCACCATTATTTCATGTGTGAGAGTGTGCAAAATGACCCGAGAAATTCCTCGAAAAGACGAGCAAAAAGTGCGCCTCGAGCCGGTTCCGGTGCTTCACACTCGCGCTCTCGGGACTCGAGATGCGGACACATGGCGAGCGATAACACTTGGAAGTCGTGCAAGTATTTTTGGGATTTTTCCCCAACCGCTCAGGCACTGTTCCATGACGTAATTCGCACGACGAACGCCTTCCCTCGTGCCTCTGGGGCTTCATGGCGCCCCCAGAGGGCTCACTACGCCTTCTGGGCACTCGGGGCTCTCAAATGGCACGATGCAAAAATGTTGGGTAATTTTCCATAGTCAACTTCGGGAGGACCTTTGGATTCAAGGTCGAAAGCAAGCTTCCATGGCAGAGATTCACATTCCCGTGATGGAATTGAGTTGAATCACTTGCAGAGGAATTTCGCCACACAGAATGCCAATAATTGTACAATGGTGGCCAAAAGAATAGGTTCAGTCGAAGTAAAAATTGTACATGCGCTAATTCAGCTATCAGAATGAAGTTACAAACAAACCATATTTTTAACATCACGGTTTTTTTTCTTCAATTGTTAACCCGGTTTTTTGGCTCTCCGTGTATCAATTCAGAACTTAAACTAGAAGATTTTATGAACAAACACTAAAGAATAGAGTTTTCTGATGATATTTCACTGTACTGTAGAGCTAAACGAGCAATGTCAAAATGTAATTACTCTGCCATAATCCGCACAAACTTTATAAGATTTTTATTCCAAATCTATTACACTCTTGCTCTTTAACAGAAAATACAATTTGTGTGAGCGACACTGATTAAGTAGTAGAAATTGTTGCATAATTGAATTGTATTTAACTGCAGCATAAAGATAAAAGCGGCGTGTAATTTCCTGATCACCACTGTATTAAAATATTAACATTTAACGCTCATAATCCAATTAGTTGTGCAAAAGGAAAGGATAATGAATGCTATCTGGTAGACGCTTCTTGAGCTCTTTTCCTGCTTTGCATTTTCTCCCCCTTGCCATATCGTCTTGAAGTGAACACAAAGCACTATCGGAAATGCAATCTTGAGGAGCAGTAGAAAAAAAAGGTGTCGCTATCGCTGCTGGTGAAATTGCTCACTATGCATTGGAGCACTTTAGGAGTCTCTCGACGCAGGAAGATTGCTCGAAAAGTGCCACTTGTTCGCCGGGGTATTTGGAGTGTCATGAGGTCGAAGTCTTATCTTGATGATGTGATAATAATTTCAGTAGTTTTCACCCATTTGACTGTACACCAAAGTGTGACAGAGGCATGATTAATAATTCAGGATGTTAGTCTTTATATCACTTATTTGTGTGTTGTCATGAGCGGGCAAAATGTGGGCAAAATAGGAGCACAGGAGAAAATGAGTTTCTTGACTTTTCCCACAGACATTCGATGATAACGCGATGTGGGAAATCGGTCAGCAAATGTTCCCTGCCTCCCTTATCACTGTGTGTCTATTTATAACCGTCGCAACATTCTCTCTAATCTCTCTCTCTCTCTCTGCCTTTTTTCCGTCTTTGCAGATCCATGTGGGATGCTCTCCTCAAGTCCGTTCGCTGCGAAATCATCAGCTTCAGCCGCAATGATCAGATTGATGCCTATGTGTTGAGGTGAGTGTCCTTTTTCCCACGCTCTAACAATCAATTGTAATAAATGTTCCGACAATTTTTGGTAAAAACTATTTTTATCTGGCGACGATGTCACGTGAAAATTGCTGAGAGTAAAAATTACTTCATTTTCTGTCTGACAACATATTGATTTGAAGGGTTTCTTATTTTCTTTCTCCCTCTCTATCTTGTTGTGGCATGAAATATGATGAAATCATCATTGGAATTCCTTCTCAATCTCGCCTTGATATCAAAAGCATGTATCAAAGTGCCACGATTGGGGTGAAAAATTATGGTATTGTGAGATGGTAAAAGCCAATTTTCATCACTATTATAAAATTAACTTGAATTTTTTGGCCTCTATCCAGAAGTCTCTTCTCTCTCATACTGAGACGTGTATTTTCACATAATGTTCTCACTGAGTTTCTTCAACTTGTCTTCCATTGACTTCAGCTGCAATGTTGTTAATTAGAGAAAATCTCGTGTCGTTTATTGTAATTTTCCTCTGGCTTCCTTGCATTGTTCACTGGTTTTGGCTTATGATGGGTACAGCGAAGAAAAGGGTGGAAAATGAGGCATAAATGTTAACCTTGATGGTTGTTGTTGTTGAGAAACTTTTGCTCAATTGTAAGGCATTGGCATGAAGCATAGGAGGAAAAAGGGACTTAACAGTGGAATTTTCCCTTGCGCTAAGGCGAGATACTAATGGAATAAAGGCAGAAAGAGTGATATTGATTTTCCTGCCATCTCTTCTGATGGCCTTCAATACAAACCCAGAGGATATGACTTTTGCAGGCATTCTGACATTATCCTGCAGGAATTATGGCGAGACAATTCCAACATCACCCCACAAAGTCTGAATTTCAAACACTCTGTGAAGCTCCGCAGCGGAGCTTTTGAAGTGGCGAGGGATATAAATAAAATTAATCAATGTGCTTGAGAGATGAATTTTGATTGCCCTTGAAGAGACTTTCTCTTCCCACTCATCAGCAAAAGTGGGCAATTGCAATTGCAGTTTACACGTATTTTTCTCTGTGCTGTGTTGTAATGACAAACCACAAGCTATGAGTTTATCGATGGTGTTGACTAAACTTGTGATGTTTATGATAAATTTATTTAGTGATTCATGCATCGCAGAAGGTTTTACAGATAGTGTATGTGTGGAATAGTGAATAGATCGAATGGATGAGAGACAGTTAAATAAAAATCTGATACTTTTGTTTTAAATATCAGCAAAAACCGGTGTGTTATCACGTTGCTTATGTTGTTTCTTCTTCGGAAATTGTATCCATATGAGAATATCTGCTTGTAGGAATGTTTGCGTTGAGATTTTTCTTTTTGATTGGCATTTGATTCAAGGGCGCTTCTATGGAATAACAAAGATTGTGTGTAATAAGTACAATAGAAATGCATAAAAATATGTTATTTTCTCCCTTTACGATAAATTTATTTAATGATTTCCGCAAATAATTTGTCAATTATGAGCTTGAGTCGTTGCTTTATGATTAGAACTCTACATATTTTCGTGCTTTTTTTCTGTTGGTCTCACGACCTTAATGTTGTTGAATAGCATTTAAAGACCTGTTTCCAGTTTTGAAGACCTTTAAAATCAATAGTTAATCAATGTTCTTCTTAACTAGTTAATTTTTTGAAGCTATTTTTGTTGACAGAAGAGCGAGTTTTCTTGCAAAATTCTCATGTCTCAGCTGTTTTCATCGTGCTGAATAAGTTTTATGGCCCACTTTCATCAAGGCTTTGTCCAGTGAAAACGACAAATTCTAAGTACATTTCTTTTGTTGTCTTTTGCAGCGAGAGCAGCATGTTTGTGTCGCGTCGTCGTTGGATTCTCAAGACGTGCGGCACGACGACTCCGCTTCAGTGTCTGGAGCCTCTGCTGGAGATGGCGGAGAAGATTGCCGGCTACACTGATGTGGAGGAGTTGTTCTATTCGCGCAAGAACTACAAGCGTCCGGAGCTGCAGGTGACACCCCATCGGGCTTTCGATGAGGAGGTGGCCCTGCTGGATAGCTTCTTTGACGATGGGCGCGCGTACTGCTTGGGCTCGGTGAATCGCGACTGCTGGTTTCTGTACACCCTGAGCCGCGGGGGAGAGGCGCTCCAGCGCCACTTTGGCACGCTGATCCAGCAGCGTCCGGTGCCGGCGATTGCGCCACCGGATCCGGATCAGACCATTGAGATCCTCATGACGGAGATGGATCCCCAAGTGATGGCGATTTTCACCAAGGAAGACTCGATGAATGCCAAGGAAGCCACTGAGGTAAGAGAGCACTGTGACACTGTCCTTGCCGTTGAGCATTCTCACTTTATCAATGTATTGTTTGAATGTTTTGCAGAAGTCTGGCATTCAGAACATCCTGCCGGGCATGAAGATTGATGATTATCTATTTGCACCGTGTGGCTACTCCATGAATGGCATTTCTAAGAATGTGAGTATCACATGATGACGTTCATTTTCCTGCGCGACAATTACTCATGCATTTCTCCCATTTTCTCTTGTCGGCTTCCTTTCTGCAATTCTCTCCACAGAATGTGGGTGATTGTCCGGAAGTAAGTGACTATTGACACATTTCTCATACCCTGAACAGATTGTTTTCTCGGTCCTTTTGGCAAGAAGGAGATTCTTTGATCTCTCAATTGTCAATATCTTTGTTGTTTTGTGTTTCTCTTTATTTGTTCTGTTTCTCGAATTTGCCAAAAGCAAAGATTGTCGATTGAATTCAAGAAAGGAGAGACACACACACACAAGCGATGTTTGGTCTCTCTTCTTCTCTTGAGTAAATATAATTACACTCTGGCATTAGTTTTGACGATAAGAAGATACGAAGAAGAGAGGCAGAAAGTTGAGGATAATTTGGGCGAATACCATACAAATTGCAAAGGAATTGGAAAGACGGAGAAAAGGGACTAAATACAGTGTCTGCAATTTTAATGCCTAAGCCTTTGCTAATGGGTTAAAGGGGCAAATTTTTCTTCAAGGCGTCTTCATAAAATGACTTTAATTTCCTTCTTTATCGTTCTCTGATGTGGAGAGTCTTTGTATGCAGTGGACTTATCTGAGAGCAAATATGGTGATCTTGTGGCAAATTCAAGAATTACAGTGAAATCTTTTCAGTTGTTATGCTCCTGTTTTATTCTTCCTCGTGTTATTTATAGACTTTATGGACATTGCAAAAATTTCGATATGTGAATCAAAAACTATTAAAATCCGTTTTTCTAAAGCTTTCCCGGAAAAATGACAATTTTTCGATTCACTTACCGAATTGTGCTCGATCGACTGAGTCATTTTTGTGATATTTTGAGTAGTTTAGTAATGAAGCTTTCACAAAATGCAATCATGAACAGCTTCAGTCTGTCACGAATTGAATTTGTTCCCCTAAATCCCTAGTTTTACATGATAATTGAGCTGTGTGCTTGTCTTAATTCTCTGTTCCTCTTTTGCCTTCCGCGCAGGGATACTACATGACGATCCACATCACGCCCGAGCAGGAGTTCTCCTATGTGAGCTTCGAGAGCAATGTGGCGGCCAGCAATTACGGGGATCTGATTGCCCGCGTGGTGGAGACCTTCCAGCCGGGTAAGTTCATCGTGACGCTGTTTGCCAACAAGAGTTCACCGGCATATGCGGCGTCGCGTGAACTGGAGCGCGCTGAGGAGATTGGCGGCGAGTGGCAGCGTCGTGACATCCAGTACTGTCGCTTCCAGAGCTACGATTTGACGTATGCGCAGTACTGCAAATTCCCGAGCTGAGGGTTACAGTGGGTGCCCCCTTTTGGGGCGGAACTGCTTCCTGTCCATCATTTCTCCATTTGTTTCCAACCCACCATCGCCTCAGCACTCACGGGTGACTTCCTGGAGGAGTCTTCTGTGCGTGCTGAGAAGATTCTCCTTGCGCAATCGCGCCAATCATTAAATTCACAACATCATGCAACACGCTTCACGGACTTTGCTCAATTCTTTGACATTCCCATCATACTCGGCATGGTACTCATCCAGCTAATCTCCATTGCGGTGGTGTTCAATGCTGAGGAGTACTCACCGCTGCTCCTTTTCTCGTGGTGGCGCAATAAGATCTCTTGAGACGCGGCGAGGCGTCGTGTGTCGTTCACAATTCGCTTCGTGAACAATTGACATATGATTTTTGCCAATTTGGTTGATTTTTGCACCATTCGCCAATTAACAACTGATGAGATCTCTTCCAAGACACACTCAATCTTGAGTATACTTTGGCCACGTGCATCAATGTGCATTTTATGACAGCGCATTGAGATGATGTTGGATGGGTACAGATGATTTCTACTTATTTCTTTTTTTTACTGACTTACCTTTTACCTGAGATGATGATGTGAAAAATGCAAACTGCGCGCAGGTCAAACCCATCGAATATTAAATTGTTTTGTTTCTTTTAAATGAATTGGAACTGTTTATTGTGCGTGAAGGGAGGTGAATTTTTGGGTGTAAGAAAATTGAATTATCTCGATGTTATTTGATGGAAAAATTTATATTGACAAAGGATATTGTTGAGAATATTTGGAGATTTTAATGGAATTCTGTATGCAACGAGATGGGTGCGATCGGCAGATTGCGTGGAGGAAAAAAGAGATAAGGGAGAAATTGAGAGGGTGTTGCATGTGATTTCTTAGAAGTAGAATGAAGAAGTAGAACAGTTGATTCAATACAATGGAGAAATGTAGTGACAGGAAGCAATGATGATTTATGATGAAAAACTATGCAAGACAAACTGATTTATGATTAAGATGCTATTTGAAAAGAAGAAGAAGAAGAAGAAACAGAGAGAAAATTAATTCCACATGAAATATTATGAAGAGAATTGGGGGAAATTTGACATGAAATTCTATTGACACTGTAAGAATTTTAACCTCTTAGAGATTTATGATTGTAATAATGAGGTGAAAAGATAAATCACGTCTTTGATGAAATTAAATGTGTACCTTGTAGAATTAACAGAGATAATTGTGAGAGTTGACAAAATGTGGGGATGAGAAAGTGCAACATTTCGCCTTTTTCTCTCCTCCAATTTGATAAAACAGTCATTCTGTTGATGGAATTAGTTTTCTTCACATGATAGATTTACAAAAATGAAAAAAGAAGTAAACATTTAAAAATCTTAACTCTTTAATGGATAAACAAGAAAAATGATGAATTTTGCTGACAGAGGAAATCTTTATGAAATAAAATTCAAATTCTTATCACAAAATATTACACTTCACGAACACTTAGGCGACTGGGATCGATTGTGAACTTCTTCTGGCGCAGCTGAGCGACTTCGTCAGACACTGCTGGGCATTCTGTCGCGGGGGGCGCTTTCACGTGGTCCGGATAGCGATTTGGCGTGGCTGCTAGGTCCATGGCGAAGGACACCACGAGTTTCTGGTTGTATTTGGGCGCGTCGTACGTGGGCGCGGCCGGAACGAGTGGACTGGGCGGTGGATTGTCTCGCTTTCGGCCCATCGTGGCGGATCTGAAGGGTGGAAAGTCGCCAGTGGGGGGAGTTTCAGCCTCTGGCGGCACTTGTTGCAGCTCCAAAAGCGGACTGTTTGGCGTCTCTCGTAGCTTCACGGCCAGGAATTCGAGTGGAATCGTCCGCGAGTCACTCTTGGCTGTTTTCACTCTCGACGGGAGCGTGTAATTGGGCTTCCCGTGGTTCATCTTCAGTTTAAACTGCGACGGACTCTGTGGCGTTGTGGGTGTTCTGATGATCTTTGTGATATCTGGTGAAGTTGTGCGCTCAGGACTTTTCCTGGGCATCTGAAGAGGTACGAGATTGACTGGTGGTTTCTTATCAATCTTCACTTCTAACGTTGTTATCTTCTTTTCAGGTGTTTTCGGGGGTGCTTTGCTGTCTGGAGCAAAATCTGGAATGTCCAAACTCTCAGGTTTGTCACTCACTGGAATCTCATCATCCTTCTTAGGTTTTTCCTCTGTCTTTTCAGGCATGCCATTCGTTTTCCTGGGCAACACAAAGTTCCTCTTGCCATGGTTGATCATCAATCTCTCAGAGTCTTCCTTCCGGGCGGAATCTGTGGGCTTCTCGGTGAGTAATCGCTTTACAATTGGTTGCATTGCCGCTGGCTTCTTCTTCAGTGTGCCATTCTCCTTGGCGATAAAGTGCTGGCAAAGCTCCTCCTGAACTCTGTCCATGCCTTTTATCATTTTTGGTGGCTCTGCAAGTAAGAAAGCGTGTGATTACCTTATCTCGCGCGACATTTTTCTAGAATATCGCAACGGATTATTACCTTCTGTGAAACTCCCATTGGTAACACCATTCACTTTTTCCGCTGTTCCATTAACACCGCTCTGATTGCATGGGAGATTTTCCTGCAAAAAAAAAATGAGAGGAAAATCAATTTGAGGCTCAAATCAAGCGTCAAGTGTTTTAGTTTCGTACGCAAAACTCTTATCAATTAGCAATAAATGAGCAACATTTGGCACAGATACATATTGTTGGTCACTGTGTAGCTTTCGCTGTTTCACACATTCCCGTGTAACATATAGATAAGCAATGTTAAAGAAGACCAGCACAGTTGATAAAATGAAACTAAAGTATTTTATCAATTTCTGAACGTCAGATACAAGCCTTTCAAGCGAAGATGTCGTGATCTAATCTAGAATATTTTACTGTTAGATCATGTCTCCACCCTTTTCGATATGATATTTGGTAAAATACATACATTTTTTTACGGTTTTGCACATTCTTTACATGTTTACATGTTTTAGTTGTAAAGAATGTATTATTTTGCAACGTGAAGTCACAACATAGCAAGCGCCTGACGTCATTCTCATGATTCTTTTGAGTGTTAAGGACATCTTGATACCTTAACAAGCACACATTTTGCATATACAAAGAACTTCATCGTATTTCACTGCGGAATGGGCTAAAATTCTTACCATTGGAGTCTTCTTTAGCGTCGTTCCTTGGCGAATCGCCTGCAGCAAGTCCACCCTTCCGGTATCCGTCTGTCCGTTTGTCTGGGCCTTCGGGCAGTGATTGGGCGGCGGCGGTGGAGGTGGACACATGATTTCCGGAGGAGTCATTCTCACGCACAACACGAACCACTTTTAGAGTTTCAAAGTCACAACTAAGCTGGCGAATCGATTGTCGTTCTTTTATACTGCACGCCACAGAGATTATCTTATCAGAGTTTCGCGATAGTTCACTGATTTTTAGCGGAATTCAGTGGAGAATTGGCGGCTCTCCTTGGAAATGTGCGCGCGCGAAATTGCTCTAGCGACAGTCGAGGCGAGAGTGAGTCATCGCGCCACAGAGCAGCATTTATAAGATTCTGCGAGTGTGATTCACCGACTATTGCCGCGAAGTGGGGAGTGAGTTCCAGCGAAAATCAATTACTCATCTAATCTGGAGGTCTCGAGCGGCATGTTTGGGTCTTTAGTCAACCTCCCGCATGCTAATGATCTGATCTTCCTCACTTTTCGCGCACTCTGGCCGAGTTGAAGGCCCCCGAATGTGTAGAGCTCTTGAGCATATCGACTTTATTTGAACCATATAGATTACAAGATAATTACCGTGAACATTACTTTGTGCAGTAGTCCTTCCGCTGTTGTCGCACAATCGCCTCCAGCTTGAGGGTGCGCTCCTTCAGGGCCACGTTCTCCTTCTGCAGCACATCAATTGTGGCATCTTTCTTCTCAATGGACTGCTGCACTCTCGCATAGATGCGCTGAATCTCCGCATCGCGCTCTTTCTGCAGTGTCTTTGTCTCCTGCGCCACTTCGCCTCTCAGGGATTCCTTCAGCGTCTCCTTCTCAGCCACACACTCGTCTCGCATCTTCCGACAGTGAGTCAGCTCGATGTCTGACTGCTTCAGATTGGCCTGCAGATTCTGGATGCTGGCCTCAGCTTCGGCCAAGCGATGCCTTGTCTCCAGATACTTCTCGCGAGCACTGGTCTCTGATCTCTCCAACTCCTTCAGTTCCGTTTCATACTTCTCCTTGATCCGTCCAATCTTCACCTCGTGCTCCTGCTGTGTCTTCAGGGATTCAGCATCGATCTTGGCAACAATTGAGTCTATCTGACGATCTCTGTCTTGCCTGCACTGCTGCCGAATGGCATTCTCACGCTCCGCTTCGCGTAGCTTCATTGCACTCTCGTGCTCGCGCTTCCAGATGGTGAAGTCCCTCTCAAACTGATCCCTAACCGATGACAATTCCGCCTGGTGCTGCTCCTCCAGGATTCTCTGCTTGTCTTTCTGATCGCGGCGCACTTGATCAATAATTTCCGAGCGCTCTCTCACCAAATTCTCCCTTCTCTGCTCCGCCTCGGATTCCCTCTCTCTCGCCTCGACCAGCAGGCGCTCCTTCTCTGCAGCAAAGTCGAGCAAAAGCTTCGCTTTCTGCTCCTCAAAGCTCTTCTGTTCACCTGACAGCTGGCGCTCGTAGCGCTCTCGGATCACCGTGCGCTCCTTCTCGATCACAGCTTCGCGATCCTCAGCGTAGGACTCTCTGATGGCCTTCTCTACCAACTCGTGTTTCTGGCGCGTCTCTTCGATGGCCGCCAGAAGTTCCTGCTGGTGCTGCCGACGCACTTCAGCCAGCTCCTCCTGGTGGCTCTGCGTGAGTCTGGCGATCTCACCTTCCAAGCCTTTCACCGTCAGTTCCTTGATCTTCTTCGTGTTCTCCTTCACCCAGCGCTCCTTGCGGATCTTCTCGCCCGCTGACATTGTCTCCTTCGCCCTGGACAGCTCAGTCTCCAGCTTGTGTTCCCACGCCTGGTTCTGACTGTCCATTCGGCGAGTCATGTTCCCCACCTTCTCACAGAGAGTGGACTTATCCCTCAGCAATTGCTCGATGAACGTCTGATGGCGAGCCACGATGCCCTCGAAGTGACTCTTCTGCTCAGTCAGCTTCGCTGCTCCGGCTTGCTTCTCCAGACGCACCGCCTTGACCTTCTCCGCTCTGACACTGGCCACATGCTCCTTGGACAGCTGCAGCGCATTGGCCAATTCATTGGCTCTCAACGAGAGTGCCACGACTCTCCGCGCCAATTGATGATTGGGCAGTATCAGAAGATCAGAGATCTTGGGCACATTCTCTGCGATGTCAGGCTCTGTGATCATCTCCAGCTCTGTAGTATCTGTCTCCCTGAGAAAGTTCTGAGCTCTCTTCAGAGCCTTCTCACAGCTGGAGTCCACAGAGTCAAGATAGCTGAGAATCTCCTGAATCTTGTCACCCTTCTCAGATTCAGAAGAAGGTGTCGCACTACAAGTGGCCAGTTTGAATTCCACGTTGCTCTTGAGATCCTTAAAGGATCTCCTGGGTTTCCTCTTGTCCGCATCAATCTCCTTAATCATGGACACAATCTCATCATAAGTGGATTCCGTGCTGAAGCTGTCTCCGGGCTCCTCGAGGCTGAAGTTTCCCTCATCGTCAGTCTTTGACGAGGGCGTGTCGCGCCACTCGCGGTTATACTCCACGAAGGAGGTCTTCTTGGAGTAGGGATCCTCATGGATCGACATCCAGGATTCCACCTTGTCAATCTGGAACTCATCCAGCATCTGATTCTCCCCATTGCGAAGTGTTGGGATGGATTTTGAGCGCTTCAGAGGCGCCTTTTCAATCACTCTAGGTTTCGGTGGTGGTTTTGTAGTCAAGGCGGATTTGCTCTTCCTCGCTTCCCGGACAGCTTTGCCTTTCCTGGAAGATGAGGCGGGTCTTCGTGGTGCTGGTGTGACATCTGACTGATCACTGGATGAGACTCTCAGGTAATTGGAGATGATCTCCTGGGATTTGTCACGCAAATGTGGTGGGAAATCTGGAAAATTGTCCCATTTTGATGTCTCTGTGATCTTCAGCGCTTGCAAAGATGCTCCAGGAATTTCTGGTGTTTTCATCACCTCAAAGTACTTTTCCATGACTGATGTGGCTCCCACCACATCTCGAGGAGTGACTTCCAGGCCCTCTGGAGGTGTTTCTTTGTCCAGCATGAAGAAATCCGGAACTTCCTCTGCGAGTTTTCTCTCAAACTCATGCCTTCGATTAATACTCTCAATCTCCTTCCTGTAATCCTCAATAATCTGGTCAGAAGTTGATTCCACATCCATTTCTATCTCTTTCTTCTCAGTCAGAGCCTCATCGTCGAAGTGGACAACCTTCTTGGACCCTTTCTTCGCCTCTCTGGCCGTTTCACTCTCTTCAGTCTCGCTGACGTCCTCTTCCTGAACGTCAGCTGTACTGAAAGACACCCTTCCCGGGAGATCTACTCTCGTTGGGGGAATTTCAGGGATTTCTGGCCAGGCTTTTTGCTTAAGATCTAGTGTAGTCGGTGGGATTATGGTTTTCTCTTCCCTTTCCGCGGACTGTTGTTCCACTTTTTCAATCTCCTCTTCAATGCTGCTCTCCTCATCGGTCACTCCATCGCTTCCCATGGGCTTCCCAGTTGTGTGGACAGATTCAGGGACTTCTTGACTGGGTTTTGGCTCGTCAGTGACACTCCAGGAGCGCGTAATTGGTTCCCTGAGCAGGAGCTTCAGGATATTCGAGGATGAGGGTCGCTTCTGGCCCTGCAAAGAGACGACATTCAGTCAGGATTTTGGGCGCCAATATGAGCAATTGTCTACCTTCAGGGAGTCCTTGGGCTCGGCGAAACCATCCGCTGTGGCGACTCTTATGCGATTTCTAAACTTGGCGAGGAAGCGCGTGGCGTCAGCTGACTGAGGGCGACTCCCGGCACGTGGCCCGGCCTGGTGAGTGGCGGAGTGCGCAGAACTCGGCCGCGGATAGTTGACGGTGGGTGTGGGTGGCTTTTGGCGCGTTGCTAGGTTGATCTGTGCGTCCAAAACAAAGCGTTAATTTCACTTTTTCCACTCTTTTTGGGTCACAATCATTAAAATTCAAATGAGGTCTATCAAAATTGATTTACTTGTGATCCATGGAGACTCAATTCCATCGTCTTGTCTGGAGAAATGGGGTGGAAATTTGTGTGCAAAGTCGATGATCTCGTGGATTATCTGCCGAAGAGTGGAACATTTTCGTGGGAAAGTAAAGAAAAAGAAACACAAAAAAAACACCGAAAAGAACCCTTTTTGATGGATTTTCCACCAATTATTCTTCTCTTTCTCTGGACACACAACACTGTTCCTGGCGCGAATCCTCCGTGCTGACTGACGGCAGGAAGCCGCGAAGGGAAAACCACATCAAACCCAGCGCGACTGCGTGTCATCGACCAAACACGCGCGCCCACCTTCTTGCCCAGCAGAAAGGGCGTCTGGGTGCATTTTCTGATCACGCAAGAAAATTGTGCGTGAGCTTCGACAGGTGGTGAGCAAACCCTCGTCGTTTTACCAAACACATAGCGTTTCGGGGAGAACGCGGAAAGGCACGCGCACGAGATTTTTCAACTGGTGTGTGACGCAAAAGCCATGAATTTGGCTTCTTGGCACAATTCCATCCGAATTGCGACAGGGAATTCGATTTTTCTGGCGCAGCGGCGAGAGGCCAGATAAGAATCTCTCGAGACGCGAATAAGTTGCACAATTTCTCCAATTTCCCTCTGGTTAATTGATTTTCGGCCAGAGAACAGAAGACTCTCAGGCCCGCGTCTTGCGCCAATATTGATGAGAAGTCGATCATGTGTGACCAGACGGCTCAAAGTGTGGGACTTGTAGGGGAGAATGGAGCAATTTTAGATACACGTTATGATTTTGAGTGTCTCTTTTCAAGGATTTTGCTAATAATCTATCTAATTTGACGAATTTTATTGGCAAATATTCATCAGATTGCTCTAAACAGACCCTCGTGAAATGTTGATGATGAAGGAATTCCAATGTGAATTAATTCGATTAATATCTAACTGATAGCAATCACATCTGCTCTCGCACCAGAGCTGATTAGAATGGCAATGTTGTCAATGAGAAGTGCTCATCAAAATTCCATCCACTTGACATCACATCTATTTTCACAGTCAATTATGAAATGTGTGGCTGAAATTGAAAGCAAATTCATCATCCAATTAGCACAGAGATGCGATGTGAATTGAAACACTTTCACCTGTCCTGCGTGTGCTGGTGTGTCTGTGCACTTTCTCGTGCGCCGTGCTGTTCAATAGAAATTCCCCAGTGAGAGGCGCCCAAGTGGCCAGGAGGGTGGGAAGACTGGGTATGCTTTAGCCTAAAAATACCCGATGACTGGTGGAAATATCGTGAGTGCCAGGCATATTTTCCGCGACTCCTCGCGTCTGTTGAAAAATTCAGCGCGGGGGAAGAGAGTCCGCGCCTCCTCCAGGGTGGCCTCCTCGCGGGTATTAATCAATTATTACACGCTGGTGATGCGCGGCGGCCGGCCAGACGCCCCACTCTGTCTCTCTCTCTCTCGGAAATGCCGCTCCTCGGCCACTTCGGCATCTTCCCACGAGTCAGTTTCACTCTGTCCGGTGTCGCTCGAGCAGTCGAATCTCTCATCTGGAGACACAGTGTCGAACGGGTTTTGCTGTTGGGTGAAGAGAAGAAATCTGGGTGTGTGCAGAGAATTGCATCTTAGGCGATCCAAAGGAATTCATCGGCCACAATGTTCAGTGGATTGGGAGGTAAGCATTTTTCTGGCGCACGCTGAAGTGCAGAGGGACAGGTCAGGACTTGGCTCCGCTATCGATTTGCGTGACACTGCGGAACAGAGTCCTTTCGCCAAGGACACTCATTTCCACCCCAATCGATTCACGACGTTCTTGTTTCAAATATCCTTAATTCATATTCTGTATTTCTCTCTCTCTCTCTTAATGCAGACAGCTCAAAGTGTGAGTATTCACGAGCATTTCTTTGTTAGAACCTGTAGCATTTTTTTTTTAGTTGTGTTCACATGCAAATTTTCGAGCTCTCTGAGTGCTCACGCACTCAGTGTGATGATCTGAAATTCCCTCAAATCTCCCACCGTGACCCCGATTCGGATCACTTCTCGCGAGACTCTGCGACTGTCGCGTGCACGTGGTGGAAAATTTTTGGCGGGAAAGCGCCCAAGGAGACCCGCGTGCAGACAAAGGGTCCACCTTTTGCGGCAGCGAGAAGGCGAGCAAGATGCTCGCGCTGTGAAATTAATATATTCCATTTGTGATGTCATCGCGATTCAGTCAAGGTTACCGCGTAGAATCTCTCACCAAGACGCAGGGTTGGCCTGAGGTTTTGCGCACTTGCACTGTGACGGGCGCTCTCTTAAGTTAAGAGTGAAATCACAACACGTTCGCATCACTCGATGAGGAAATATGTGAAAAATTTGCACTTTATCAGCAGAAATAACTATCAAGTAGCATTTTTTTTCTACCATAATTAACACTAATCGCTGTTTATATTCTGATAGTAAGCAATTTTCCTGCATATTTTCACTCTTGCTCACTGTTTTGCTCCTTCACGCCATGCTTTTGCTGATTTGTCTTCCAATACGACGTAGAAGCAGGTTTAAGATTGAGTGTCGCAAGCAAAGCGTCAAAATATTCAAAAAAAATCTCTTAAAACCATGAACCAAAGGTGTTACATTAAATAATCTTTATTTCAGCACTTTCAGCATTAAAATCTGTAACGATTTGAGAGCATTTGCAACACAGAGACCATGAACATTATTCTGCACTTCACGCTCATTTATTTATGCCAAAATAGCTTCCATATTTAATGCAAGAGCCGTAAATTTTGACACTTTCCCAAACAATGTCCGTTAAACAGTGGAAATCCGTGGATTTGCCATTGAAGATGCCTTCAATTGACCTCCCGCATACGATCTGATGGGATTTTATGAGTGGGAAGAGTTAATTAGGCTGAAATTGACATGAATTGACCCATTAAAGTGATTTCTCAGATGGAAACTCAATCACGTGGAATTTTCCTCATCACAGACAGAGTGAAGATAATGGCCAGAAGTGGCTGCAAAAGCACTCAGAGTTTCATCACAAGCAGATGGGAAGTTTTTGCCGTGGCGATTGTGGGTGGGGAAGAATAAATAATAATAATTCTGCTGTGGCGTGAAGGTTTCCAACCAATTCACACGTTTTTTTTTTCTCTCTCATCTCTTTCTCTTCTAAATTCTATGCATTGTGTCATTCTCTCCAGGAAGCTCTCAAGACGCGCTAATCAGATTGTCTCCTAATCGAGCTGTGTTTGCTTTTGCAGCATCGCTGAAGAGTTTCGGCGAGAAGACGGCCAGTCTGTTTGACAGGAAGAAGAAGGATGCCGAATCGATGGCGGCTGAGAAGGCCACAACGGCCCAGAAGATGGCCGAGGAGCAAGTGAGGAAGGCCGGAGAGGCGATTGGCCAGACCAGGAGCGAGGCTGAGAATCTGGCCGCCAGCACGGCCAAGGAAGCCGCCGCCCTGGCGGTTGAGGAGGGCTCCAAAGTGGCCAAGTCGGCCGAGGATCAGGCCAAGACGGCGGCAGGAGCAGCCAAGCAGACTGCCCAGAACGTGAGCGACAGCGTCGAGGCTGGCAAGAAGCAGGCGGCCAGCATGGCGGAGCAGACGCAGAAGGCGGCCAATGATGCCATCAATCAGGGCCTGAAGACCGCAGAGCAGGAGATTGACAGCGCCATGAAGGCCACCAGTGCCGCCGTGGACCAGAAACTCCAGGAGGCCAACAAGTTTGCCGACGAGAAGCGCGGAGAGCTGGAGAAGAAGGTGAACGAAGAGGCTGCCAAGGCGCAGGATTCCGCCGGAAATGCGGCCGCCAATTTGCTGGGCAAGCTCAATCTGGGCGGCGGCAAGTAGACCATCGTCTGCTGACCAGTTTTTCCACCATTTTTCTTCACTCACCGTTTCCGGGATGATTAGCTTAACGCGCGCCCGCAAAGAATTGTCCAAATGAAATTAACACATCAACTCAGTAGTTTTTAGGAGGAGAAAAATCAGTGTATGCAATGTTCATATGGTTTCGACATGGCCTAAAAGAAGAAAGATTTATTATTTTCACGAAATTTTCACGAGAAGGACTTTTTTGGGAGCTTTTTGCGAGCTTCAATGCCTTCAATTTTGGAACTCAAATGCCTTAAAAGCGTGTCAAAAAGCCTTAATGTTAGAGATATTTTCATCTTTATCTTAAACTATTATCAAATTGTCGTTAAGTTTCTACGTGTAAAGCTATATGTATATTGATGAAATAAATGTATTCGTTATTATAATAAAAATTAAATTCAGAAAAATCAATTTTTGAATACCCGCCCTTTTTGCATGCCGCCCGCCGTTGAATTCTTCCCGGCTCACAATCCGGATTCATAACCTTAAATTCTGTTCTCTTGTTGTTGTTGACATATCGACCCAGAAAAGTGTTGAAATCTCTGAAAATCTCAGTGAAACTTGCGAAAATCATGGAAGAGGATCGAGTGGTGTTGGCCAAGAATGCCCTGATGGAGGCAATTGGGGAGAATTGGTCAAAATACCTAAGTTACATGCGAATGTGGTTTCGCAGTCTCATCACACAGGAAGCCTTCGATCAGGAAGCCCGAAAGATGCTGACCATCGAGCAGATGCACCTGCAGAACGAATTTCTCAGCGCCGTGATCCGGAAGACGTGCGGATTCACGCAATCCGTGCCGCTGCGGCCAGTGGCAGTGCCGGACGAGAAGCCCGTGAATTTCATAAAGAAGAAGCGCAAGAGAAGCTTCAGGGCATCAGAGAGAGCGACATTTGAGCCTGTCGGGGTGTCTGACTACCTGCCCGGAGAGCCGATGCTCAATGACTACCACAACGCCAACCATCAGCAGCGTTTCGTGGCGCAGGAGCTCTTTCTGCCGGACAGCGCCCTGATCATGGGCAGACTCCTCGTGGGCGCCTGGGAGATCGGGCTTGTGAACGTGGAGGACTCTGCGGCGGAGATGCTGTGCAGCGCCGTGCAGACACTGCTCAAGAACATCCTCTCGTCGGTGTTCATGAAGAAGAAGATGTTCAAGAGCACCTCCGGCGGAGCATTCTTCTACGACGTCGGCCATCCGGTGAGAGATCCCTTCGTGCGGAACACCGTCACGAGGCAGAAAATCGACGATGCACCCGTGGACATCGACAAGGAGATCACGCTGGTGAATCTGATGAGAAATCCCACCGAGGATTCCGTCTTTCTGGCCGATTGTGGCGAAATTACGCCACCGAAGCAACACAGAGTCACTGTTCAGGATCTCTATCGCGCCCTCCAGGATCGCAATATCATCCCCTCGCACTCTGTCTACTCCATCAACGCGGAGCGGATAAGTAACAGCCTCGGCTGACCAGTAAGTGAAACCATATGCATTTATTCTCTCTCTCTCTTTCGCTTTATTTTGCCCCACAATTTACACAGATTTTCATGGTCTGTAAAAACCATTTCTCAGCTTTTCAGTCATTTGTCGGGTAGAAAAAAAATCAAGGGAAACCCCACAGTGGCGTAGTGAGTGCTAAATTTAGCTGTTTAATTAGTCTTTTGGAGGATTTATAGAATGATTTCTCTGGCTCTGCAAGTCAGAAAAGAAGAGCAAAAAGAAATACTGAATATATTCAAATGGGAAATCAATTAGTAAACAATCGGTTTACCACCAAAGTGTCTTCATGGAGAATTTCTTCTCACGACGCTATAATTTTCCTGGGTGAAGAGAAACATTTCCATCTTATTGTACAAAGTATATTAAATAAAGTCCTTTACAACTACTTCTCACCACCGCGAACATTCTCAATTAGCTCATCTTTGCGCTTCGCCTCAGGATATGTGCTTTCATGATTAGTTGGAATATTTTTCTTTTTTTTCACTGTCTTGCTCAAGTCGAAGGAGATTTTTCCAATCGACTTTCTGTTCTCTGGAATTGTCTTTATCATCTACATGTGAAACTATCATTTGTCATAATATCTCTTATCTATGCTTCTTGCTCTTCTCGAGGTGATAGTAAAAATTGTGAGTGGGTGTGTTTTGAGTGTCGATTATTAAAGGTGTATTTTGTGATTCACATTTCTTCGTCTCTTTCGCTACAAACCATACTTTCTCTCTCTTCATCTTCTTTCCTTAATTAATATACCCTTTAAAGTGTGAACAATTTGCAATTTGCATTAACATTAGAGACGATAAAAACAAAATGATCTCTCTTATGGCCTCACATTTCATCATTTATTTTCTCTTATACTAAAATGTATACATATTTGTGAATCTTCTCACATATTCTCGCTTCCACTTCATCGTGTCCACCGTTTTTTTTTTCTTTCTTTTATAATACAATTTATTAATTCATCTGCATTTATCTAATAAATCCTTTTATACCTCTCTAAGTGATTTGTTCAACGCTACATTTGCTTCTGGTTTTTTTTATTTTTTCATCTCGTTTTCATTATTCTTAACTCAAGAGACAGTTTCTGTATATATATAAAAAGGAAAAATGAATCAGATTTTATTCACAAAAAATTACCTTGTATTTTTTTTCTCCTCCTTCACTTAATACACTAATAATGACAAATAAAATGGGAAGTTTTATATGAGTTTGTGAACGATTTTTTTCTTCTTCTTTTGTTATGAAGATGAGTGAATTTGTTTTTCTTAAAAAAGTACTTTGATTATATAAAAATAGGTGTATATTTTGCCCTTACCGAAGTGTGTTTGCATTTCTTTCAAAGGTTTTTTTATCTCTCAATCTATTTACATTTCATAGATTTTTTCATCCAACTTTTCCTTTCATCTTAACACAACAATACAATCGCGATAGAATTTCTTAATATAAAAAAGTGGGTGAAAGTCGTATAATTAATGTGGCGTTTTACATTATTTTATAACTCGAATGTTTTCATGATGTTTGAGTCACTGGGAAAAATCATAATTTTTTTTCCCCTATATTAATAAGCTAAAAAAAAATGTGTGAATATTTCGATTAGTTTTTCTTCTTCTTCTTCTTCTCTAAATAAATATTGCGCAAAGTATAAAAATGTGTTGCAATTAAAAAATAATTTAATACAAACAGAGTAAATTTATATAAGTTAAAATAATAAATGATTAGTTGCCTTTCGAGATGCCTATGAAATAAGAGATGATCTCTTATCATTAAAAGTGCGCATAAAAATTGCATCACTAACTGTCAAACTGCAGTTTTAATTATAAATACCAGGGAAAATGGCCTGCGACTTTTTTTTCTCTGGGTGCAAAAAATAAATTTACTTGCGTGAAAAGATATTTTCTGCATGTCAAAGTGGAAAATGCCATTTTTGTTCAATGCGCCGCAATTGCTCTCTTCATTACGAAGCGAACATTATTTTCTCAATGTCTTTTTTATCACATTATAAGCTTAAATGCCACAATTTTTTTCAGTTCATACTTTTCCTTTCATCTGACAATTCAGAGGTTTTTTCGTTCATCATTTTTTTTTTCACTTTCAATTTTAATATGCATTATGATGTGTGATAGAAATTTCCCTGTTTCACACCTCTTTGCGCCACAATATTCTGTAATGGATTTTCTTCTGTCACTATATAAAAAGAGGAAAATGTCATGATAAAATTGTGCAGAAGAATTACTTTTTGTGTGATGCTGCACTTTTAATCTCACTTCCTCTGCTCGCTCTGACTTTTTCTCTTGCCAATTTAAATGCAAAGCGGAGGAAATCTCTTGCCTTCTCCATTATTCTCTCTTATCACTCTCGCAAAATCTTTCCTCCAGAATTGAATGGCGGGCAAAAAGAAACGCACACATGTATATAAGTTTAAAAAGCTCAGGGAAGAGAGAGACAGAGAAGCGCGTCTCTCTTGAAAGAAGCAACAATAGATGGATTTCACAGAGGACGGGTGATATTAGTTTGTCACACAGTAGCTTTTTCCGAGGAGCTTAGACTCTCCCTCTAAACAAAAAAAGGAATCTCTTTCACAGAAAAAGACACACTCTCACTGTTTTGTCTCTACTTGGTGTGTTTGTTTGTTTGTTTTTTTTCCCTAAACCGATGTCTGTTGCATTATCTTGGCCAGTGCGCTGGACTCGCCCTCGTACTCACTGTCCTCTATTTCGCAGAGGTGCACGGACAAGTCGCTGTTGGAGCCGCGGTGCAACAGCGTGTCCTCCTGGCCGCGCATTGCCATCTCCATGTCGCGCGCCTCCAGTCGATTCCGCCGGCGCGCCTTCACCGACACCGGGAAGCCGTACGACGGAATGGAATCCTCTTCGGCCGCCTCCTCGTCGGACTCCACAATGCTAACACTGGGCGCGCCGCCGTTGGCCATCAGCGACGCCCGTTCGCCGTCCGTGTCGCTCTGAATGTTGTACCTGGGCAAGTAGCTGTTGGGGTGCCGCAAGTAGCTCTCAGCTGTCGAAGACAAGCCATCAGTTAGTTGCAGAATTTACATATAAACACTAAATTCTAAGTATGTATAAGATATGTGTAAGAAAATAAAGTACGACTATAGTGAAGACAAACAGCATTTTCTCTGTGAACTTGGACATCAGAAGTTGTTAAGTTGTTTACCTCATCTGAAGGAGTGTTTGTGAAATTCAATTACGCCAAGACATGATACTTTTATTCGTAACCATAGAATATGTTAAACAGCAAAAGATTCAAACTAGATAGTTAAATATTTCCCAGGATATTTTTCATGAATGGCATTATGGCTTATAAATTAATATTAATCTCCAAGATATGATTAAAATTATGCAATTATTGAAATTAAAGCTCCAAAACCGCTGCTATGATGACTCAAAGTCATTTGCATAAGCAAATTCCACAAATTTATTTCCTCACTTTTCTTCTCTTGCATGACTTTAAACTTCCTCTTGTACCACACTAAACTGAAATATTGATAGGATTCTCCCTCAATATATAGCATAAAAAACTAAACCCATTATACCCAACGAAGCCAATCAAGTGTTAAACCCAAAGTCCTCACAGAAAAGCACCATAATACAGACAAGCTCGGCTTAGTTACGTGTATGAAATCAGCCAGTAAAGCGCTTTCACACATTTTGAGCTCTGCGAATGAGCGACAATTAGGGATATAACGACCAGTTTATCTAGCAAATAAACTTCCAGTGAAATGAAAAACAACATCTAGTAAGCTGCCTTAAATGAAAGCATGAAGCATTGAGAGATAATCCGTAGAAAAAAAACCAGACAGACAGTTATTAACGCCTTTTAATACTTTCAAGTCATTGAATAATTAACAATCAAAAATATTTCCAAGAATTTCACCCAGTTTTCCTGGAAATTCACTCAATGGCACTTTAAGGTTTTCTGTGAAGTGAAAATCAACAGGAGAATTGCAAGAATAGCCACTGCTTCTTCACAGAAATCCCCACATTTCTACAATTTCTCCCCCTCAAAATCACATGGGAAGAAGTTTGTGCAAAAGTAGTGCCATACATTTGAGAATAGGTATTAAGAAAAGTGGTGTTCAGACGAGCAAATATTGTCTCTTACTCATGAAATAATTAATTGAAAAGAGAAGGGAATTGAGATATTTTCACTTCACTGGATAATTTTACCAGTGAAGGCAATAGTTATTGAGCAGTCTTAATTAGAAATGCTTTTCTTTCTCGTTGTGACAATCAAAGAAAACTCCGTAAGAGTGTAATTTGGACGAATGAATAGACAAATATTGGCATCTCTCGTGATTGCTCGTCATCGTCCATCCAATAAACTCCATTTGTAGAAAGGATGAGCAATTAAATTAGTCTCCTCGTCTGCATATTCGACTGAATTTTCCGCGTGGAATTTGCCAACTGCTCCCCAAACACAAATTCATTTTTCCCATTGAATATTCGCCTCTTTATTTATCGTCCATCCCAAAATGCTGAACGAAGAGCATTTCTCACCACCACTATTGCTCCAAACCCAAAAAGTTCTCGTCGCTCTCCCTGGGCTGTGTGAATACATTAAAGTTTCCCCGGACAGGAAAAGTTGACGGGGACGGCACAGACGACGAGGTGGACAGATGGATTTCACGGGCATTTGGCGAAAAATAATATTAAATCATGCGCTGAGCATTTGTGAATGAGAGGAGGAAAAGATAAATACAAGAGATATTCTCTAGTTGAATAATTGTCCCTTCATTTCACACTGGCGGATTTATTAACTCCTCCCCGCGCGCCAAGATTTCCGCGAAAGACGCACAAGAACTGTCCGTAAATCAAACACCAACCATCGCGAGTAATCAAAAGCTCCCCAACCATAATTCCTTCTCTTCTCTCAATTAATTCTTTATGCCGCACACAAAAGATGAGGAACACGAGATGGTGCGAATGAGATTAATTGGTTGGAGCATTAATTAAATTTATATTGATATTTTGAAGCTGACAAATCTCTTCGGTTCGCAGATGGGAAATTTATTGTCCTGCAAAAGTGAGAAATAACACTTGAACTAAACTCCCTCGAAAGTTCATCTTCCACTCAAATGGTCAAGACAATCAATATTCTCAATCATTTCATGGACACACTGCATTTGATACTCTGCAGCCCTTCTTCTCTCTCTGCACAACTCAGTCTTTCTCCAATTTTCAATAATTGGAAAAGTTGAGCTTGCAAATTCATTCTATGCTCATTTTAATCAATTTCCCATCTCTGAACAGTCAATCTATCGTCCAACAGACAATGTGCATAAAGCAACTGTAGCATTTACCTTTCGGATTTATTGTTAAAGGCACTGTTTTGCCATCGGGATGCATATAAACAAGAGTGGAGAGAAGTTGGAGAACAAGTGAGAAATGAGAGGAAATTTCATAATTTAAGGGTGGTTTTCAACTTTGTACTGCATAAAATGTATTAGACAGAACGAGAAATGCGGTGCAATCTTATGATCACATATGGTTTTCCAACTTCCAAAGAAGTTAGAATAAAGCACAAAAACCTCTTGAACAAAAGGTAATCAAATTAACTTCTCAAGAAATGAAGAAACTCCATTTAAACTATGCGATACAGTGATTACAATGGAAATACCACCAATTTATTGGGTGCAATGCACATGAAATCCTTCATCAAAGTCCCGCCCCTTTGAAAGCCACGCCCATTTGCACAGTATTTTTCGACTTTAACACAGCTTAACCCTCTCTCAACGGTAAGAATTGTGTCTTTTCTAAATGCTTGGGCGGATTGGTGGTATTTTCATCGTCGTCACTGTTTACATACAGCGCATATATTGTAATTAAATTGGGTGGAAAGAAAGAGTTTCCTGCGAAAGAAAATTCTTGAAAACCACCCTTATTATTGCTGAGGCAAAGAGCCATACATTCTGCATTTGGGCAAAACTCACCTGTACTGAATCGATAATCCTCACTGCCACTGTCAAGTGGATTGAGCGCAGTGAGACTCGCCATTGGATCTTCCTCACCATTCCCATAATCCGTCACCACATCCGACTCCAGATCTTCATTCAGCGTCTCAATATCCCGCGCCGGATCCACGACGCAAGTCACTGCAGTGAAGAAACAGTTGATGAGCGGATTATGAAACTTCCCTCCCCCCATAAAAATTATCACAATGCGGAGCGCGCGAGAAGTCTTGTCACAGATGCTGCGAGGGATTATTTGGCATTTCACATTGTCGAGAGTCAGTCATATGAATGATAATTCCGCCACCGCGCAAAACACTCATTAAACTTTCTAATACCCACTGCGGGTGTGTATGAATTTTTCACCCAAACCAGCCGAGCAGTCATTAAATGCGTGGGCACGATGTCATCCCATGGCATAAACAATCAATAATAATTTCTGCACAGCGCGAGAGCAGGAAGAAAAAACTGCCATAACTTTGCTATCGCTATCCAGAATGGAGTGAGAAAAGTTCTCTCTTCTCCTGTTTCTTTTTTTTTCCATACGCCAATGCAGAGTATATACACAAAATATAATGCACAAGTGAGAGAGCGTGGAAAAGATGTTTAGGGGAAGTTTTCAGCAATAATTTTGAGCAGGAAGTGAAGCATGAAGAAACTTGTTATTCCCGCTTTTTTTCTACCCAAAATACTTGCAGACTTTCAGAGTTTTGTGATTTCCACAGTGGGTGAAGAAACATTAATTTTGTGACATATTTTCATGAAAATTAGTTGCTTTTTTGCAGTTAAGTGTGCCTTTTCGCTCTTTCTCACTCATTTCAATAACTCCAAAACACTGAAATTACTTTCAACGAAGCGTTAAATGCTCATAAGAATATTACCAGCGATTGTGACGGTGAAATTTCCAAAAGGTATTCAACCACATATCCCCAAATTAGATAGCAAGTGAACAATTTCCCTCACATTCTTAACGTGTGAAACGTGCTATGGTAGCAAAGCTGAGAGCATTTGGATTTGGTGAAGCGTGTAAATTAGCCGCTAAGATTAGAATTGAATGCAATCCCACCAATTAAATGCACTGTGTGAAGAGATTTTCACCACACGAGGAAAATGCGCAGGAAGTGCACAAGGAGAAGAAGAGATTAAGGCTTTCCTCGCAGTGAGAAAGAGAGAGAGAGAGAGAGAAACAGAGAGAGAAAAAAGGCCGCCAACACTTCATTTCCGTGGATAATCTTGCAAAATACCACTAAAACGTTAAGTATATCCACACAGTGACTTCAGTGCAGACTCTTCTCACAATGTAAATGTTGCGGAGACACAACTTACGAGTGTGGCTCAAAAGAAGAAACTTCTTCGCCGCAACAAAAGTTATCTCTTCAAGTGAAATGCCATTTTTGATGTCATCTCACTTGATGTGCGCGCATTTAGCTGGGATTTGTGGCAAGAAATAAACTCTACTGGTACTCACTTTGCGGCACCATCTTTGGCTGTGACTCGTTACTCTCGTTGCTGTGGAAGCTCGACGAGTCGGGAATCTCACTGCCCGGCACTTCTGTGATGTTAGGCAGCGGATTGTGGCTCCGTGGCACCCAGTCTGAGCAGTCCCAGTGATACGCGCCGTGACCTTGCTGCTCCTCCGGTGGCGACGTCACCAGCCTGCCCGGCAAGATTCCCGTAGTCTTGAGCGTTCCCAGCCTCATGTGCGGATCCAGCATCTTCACGTCATTGTTGATCTTCCCGGTGGGACTTGTGCCATCCGAGAAGGTTTGCAGATGGATCTGATCCCACTGCTTGCCAGCATCAGCATCGCCTCCAGCCGCATTGATATTCACCAGCAATGGCTGTGTGGGTCTCTGTTTCCTGTACTCCTCCACGACGTTCTCCAGCTCATCTCCCGCAGAGCCGTAGTTCCGCAGCGTCTCCAGGTTGTTCATGAAGCTGCACACGTACGGTGCGTCCGGATTGGATGTGGGCGTGTAGGAGACGGGCCGTGGCGCTTGTTGCTGTTCCAAATTGCTCATCTTCGAGCCTCTCTTGTAGCCCACCGCCAGAGGATCATTCTTCAGCACGTTGTTAGTATTGTTGTGCGCTTGGTGGTTCTTCCTCTTCCTCGCGGCCATGCACCAAATCAGCCCGACAATGGCAAAGAGAACAATCACGCCAAACACTCCGCCACCAATGAGGATCACCTCAAAAGGAATATTGTCCAGTTTCATGGACTTTAGTAGATTTGAGTACAGAGGATCTCCACAACTGGCACCTGAAATGAATATGAAAAAAAGAGGATAAATAGAAGTGGCAAGAGTGAGCCAGAGTCAGAATCTCACCTGTGAGATAAGGAGGGCAGATGCATCTGAAGCTTCCTGCTTCATTGATGCAAGTCGCTCCGCTTCCGCAAGGTTGGTTCTCGCATTCGTTCACGTCCACTTCGCACGTTGGTCCCATGTAGCCGCGGCACATGCACAGCGGCCCGAAGTCGCCCTCTTCGCACACACCGCCATTGCGGCACGGATTTGGGGCGCAGAATCTGCCAAAGTCACACCGTTTGCCGGTCATCTTTGGTGGGCAGTTGCAAGTGTAGTTCCCACTGCCGTGATCACGACACTGACCGCCGTACAGACACGGCGACGAGGCGCAGGGATCGCGGTCACTGCCGCACAAAGGCCCTGAGAACCTAGCGTGACACAGGCACTCGAAAGTCCCATCGAACTCGCGACACGTGCCGCCATTCAGACAAGGCTGACTGCCACAAATACCCAGCGGCTTGAGGACTGTGGTGGCATCGCAGGAGTACTCAACATTGGCGAATCTCCTGAGCGTGAGAATGGATCCCTCGTCGTTCGTGTTGAGGTGCAGCGGCAATGATTGCCTGGACAGTCGAATATCATCCAGACAGCCAATGAATCCCTTCTCGATGTCCTCAAATCCAAGCACCGTGGCGTGCTGGCGCACTTCCGCCCCGAAGTATACGTCATTTGTCTGCAGATTCAGCACTCCATTGACACCCGGAGCACTTCCTGACGCCACGTGCGATTTATCTACCAACACCCGAACGCTGTTTCCCTCGCGCTCCACGCGAATCTCATGCCACTGACCATCGGCAATGAAAACACTCGCCACACTCACCAATCCCTCACCGCTGCCCAGATCGAACCGATACTGCACAAATCCTCCACTCACTTCCAGAATGTTGTAATCCACTCGTCCAGCGGCGAACATCAGGCATCCTGTGAGCTGGACAGTGCGCACTTGCAGCGAGAGCATCAATTGGTTCTCCACCGACGTCTTGGCCGTTAATCTCTCCACTTTATACTGTGCATAACTCTTGCCTGAAAACGACACTGGATTCACTGTGCTGTAGCACGATTCCTCCTCACACTTGGACACGTCGCGGGCGCAATTGGGGCCCGCAAAACCTTCCGGACAGGCGCAATGGTAGCCTTGCGAAGAGGCGTCCGGAATGCACACTTTGTGACTCGGACAGAGATTGGAAGCGCACTCATTCACCCTGTTCTCACAGCGATCTCCACCGAATCCCACTCGGCATCTGCACTCAATCACTTGTCGATAGTGCGGCGCCACGAAGCTGGAGATGTCAATGGAAATGGCTGAGGATGTGGCATCTTCTGTGGCTCTGATGGAGACCTCGCACTTGCCATTGTGACAGAATCCGGGTGAGCAGGTGGATTTCACAATCTCCTCAATGGTCAGCCTCGTGATGTCCTCAATCTCCTCCAGATTGTCCTCCATAACCTTCGTTATCTCATCCACCGAGTAGAATGTTGAAGCACCGACGATAAGAGGGAATCTCCGGACAGTGAAGAGAACATCAAGATCCTCATTCACCTCCCGACGAGTCCTCAAGTTCTTCTCCCGCGAGATCACGTTTACATCATCAGCTTCAATTGACGCTGACTGAACAGAGATGATCATAACATCCTTAATGCGACATCCTATCGCATTCCTAATGGATCTAATGAAGCCTTTGCGGTGACTCAGAAGGAAATCTGACGGTTTTACCTTACGGAATCTCAACACAACTGCATTGCTCAGCATCTCTTCTGTCACCAAATCCACCGACACTTTCACAATCGTCGCCGCGATGAACTTCCCATCAGATACTGTCACGTTGATCCTGTAGTCTCCCAAGTCCAGATCCGGCAGGGCATACAAGACACCCTCGGCTGAGATGTTGAACAGACTCGTGGGAGTGTAAGACACGCCCAGAGTTGGAGCCAAGCCATACACAAGACTGTCATACTGATCCTGATCTGTGGCATGAACTCTCCCGATTTCTCCGCCTGGATAGGATTCCTTGAACGAATTGATGGCCACCTCTAGTGGTGTGATAATGGGCGGATACTGAGACTCCTCAATCACATTAACAGTCACATGAGTGTCAGAGAACAGAGGCGGTGTTCCATTGTCAAACACCCTGATCTCCAGATCGTACTTATTCCTCACTTTGTGATTGAATCGCGCCGCAGTGCGCAGGATTCCGTCCTGCTCCAGCCGGAAGACACCGCCCTCATTCCCAGATCTGAAATCGAATGTATATGGCACGGTGTTTGGCTCAGCGTCCGCGTCTGTGATGTTGAACCTCAACAGAACATGCCCTAAAGTCTTATCTTCATGAATATACGCTGTGTAGTTCAGCTCGCTGAACAACGGTGGATTGTCATTGGCATCGGAAATCTCCACATTCACTAGCACATAGCTTGTCAGAGAGGGAATTCCTAAGTCTGCAGCTCTAATCTCCAGGACATAATTTGAAATTGACTCTCTATCAAGTGCAGAAGCCACAGAAATGTATCCAGTTTCCGGTTCAATGGCAAATTGCTTCAATCTGTCGCCCTTCTCGATGGCATACACCACCTTTCCATTGTCATCAGAGTCCAAATCCACTGCCTTCACCTGAATTATCTTGTCCCCAACCAGAGCATCTTCCCGGATCCTCGCTGTGTAGGACGTTTGGGTGAATTGCGGTGGGTTGTCATTGCTGTCCGTGATGGTAATATTGAGTGTGGCCAAGCTGCTCAATGGCGGCTCTCCACCGTCCATCGCCTGGATGGTGAGGAAGTAATCTCTGGCCCTCTCGTAGTCCAACTCACCAACCACACTCACAATCCCCGTGCGATTGTCCACGCGGAAGCGCTTCTGCTCATTCCCACCAATGAAGCTGTAACTGATCTCAGCATTGATCCCAACATCTCTGCTCGTGGCCACGATCTCAATCACTTCCGCCCCCAGCACAGTGTCCTCGGGAATTGCGGCTGTAAAGTACTTCGTGGTGAACTCTGGTGGATTATCATTGATGTCCTGAATATTGATGATTACCAGAGCTGTCGAGAAGAGCTCAGGAACACCCTGATCAGTGGCCTTAACCGTGACATTGTGCACTTCCTGCATTTCTCTGTCCAATCCACTGGCTAGCGTTATAATTCCACTGTCACTCGCTATTCTGAAGAATTTCTCCTTTCCCTCGTCAAGGATCGAGTAGCGAATCTTGCGATTTACACCCACGTCAACATCAGTCGCATGCACCTTCGTCACCAGTGTCTCAATCTCTGCATCCTCAGGCAGGGACACAGTGTAGATCGCCAATGAGAAGCTGGGTGCATTGTCATTGACATCAGAAACTGTGATCTCCACTTGAGACGAACACTCCCAGCCGAAGTGATCACGATCTTGTACATGAGCCACCAAAATGTATCGCGAAATTGTCTCCCTATCAAGCTGTCGCGCAATCTTAAGCACACCCGAATCCTTGTCCAGACTGAGGTCATCAGCTCCGCGGCCCGTGAGGAAGTACCTCAGCTTTGAGTTGCTCTCCAGATCCGCATCGGACGCTTCTATAATCAGCAATTGCGTGCTTGGCGCCACATCTTCAGCCACGGTCTTCTTGTATCGGAATTTCAAGCAATACGGAGGATTATCATTGACATCGAGAATCGTGATGGACACATTAGCAGTGGCTGTAAACTTCCCATCAGTCACGAGGACTGTAAGATTGTAGAAATCTATGGTTTCTCTGTCCAAAGCCTTCGCCACGTACAATTCTCCCGTGCGTCTGATCTGGAACTGTGACATTTTGTCCCCTGAGAAAATGTAATACTCAATTGGAGTGACTAAATCCACATCAAGATCCGTCACTGACAATTGCAGCACAACAGTGCCCGGCAGAGCGTCCTCACTCACGCTGGAATTGTAGTGATCTTGCGTGAAAATCGGCGGGTTGTCGTTGTAGTCTTTGAGTTTGATCACCACCAATGTTGAGTCATTCAGTTTCACATTGCCATTGTCCGTCGCAATCACACGGAACTTGAATTCTCCGCGGACTTCTTTGTCCAGCTCAGCCAGTGTCGCTATCCAGCCTGTGTATGGATCAATGCCAAAGGTATTTGCCGCTTCTGTGTTATCCGATGCGAGATAGTATCGCACATCTCCATTGGATCCCGAATCTCGATCTGTGGCAGTAACCTTGAGGATCGTCGATCCCTTCTCGCTGTTCTCCGCCACTGTAACCACGTAGGGATTGCTCTCAAACACCGGCGCATGGTCATTGTCATCCTGCACGTGCAACTGAATCTCCGTGAGTGCTGTCAGTGGTGGACTGGAATCAGTCTCCGCCAAAATCCCAATGGCGTGAACCTCCTTCTCCTCCCTATCGAGAGATCGCGCCAATCTCAGCTCTCCTGCCTCGTTGATGGCGAAGTGAGGATCATCCTTGTCTCCCGACACAATCCTGAAGCTGTGCGTCAAGTTGTCCACCAGTCGGAAACGAGATATCAAAGTTCCCGGCGTCGCTGTCTCGGACAAGAACAGTGACTTCTCCTTCTTCTCGAACATCGGCGCAACATCACTGGGAGCCATCACATACACATTGACGGGCACATCATTATGCATGGATGGCACTCCGCCATCGAAGGCGCGTATGAAGAACTGAAAAAGTTGATTTTCAAACTCATGAGCAGTACGCTTGAGGAAGAGCTCTCCGCTGTTCTCATTCACGCCGAAGAGGTCCTTCACACCTGAAAGACAGAGAAGTGGCAATACAAAGGAAGTGACCTACTTTCCCAGCCACCAAGAACACCTTTTGCCTCACTACAAATGAGACGAATCGAATTGCTTTTATAAAACTCAGCAATTTTCAAGGTGCATTAAGAAATGGTTAAATATATCAAACGAAACCATTTTTTCAATTCTGATCCTCAATGTTTTTAAACTTCATTCACTCACAAGTCAAATAGTCTATAAAATGTCTGCTTTTCAAGCATTGCGATATGTATGAATTATTAAACATTCTGCATAGAAACCGTGGAAGTGAATGATGTACAGATTTGAGGTCTATTATCTTCCGCTTGCGCTGCATTAAGCAGCTTAATTCAAGTGATTCTGACTGGGTTTCAATACCATTTAATGCGCTTTCAACTCTACTCAACTCACCTGTGTTCTGTGCATCGTACAAGCTGTAGTGAATGGCGGCATTTTGGTTCTCATCCAAGTCCGTGGCGCGCACGCGAAGGAAGGGACTGCCGATGGTGTGATTGCCGTGGATGGAAGCTGTGTACTCGTGAAAGTGAAACAGTGGCGCATTATCATTCTCATCCGCCACATGGACACGCACTGTGGTGAAGCCCACACGTCCGCCGCCATCTGACGCCATCACAACCATCTCGTAAATCTCCCTGGCCTCCCGATCCAACCGCACCTTTGTCACAATCTCCCCCTTGGCGTGGTCCAGCGCGAACGACTCCGCCAGCTCGTCCGAGAGCAGGCTGTACGTCAGCTGACCATACTCCCCGAAATCCTCATCCTGCGCAACCACACGAGCCACCAAGCGTCCCGCCAGCTGATTCTCATTCACCTTCACGTCGTGAACGAGGTGATGAAAACTGGGACTGTGCAGATTCCCCGGCAGGATGTTCACTTTCACCCGCGTGAAACTCGTGTACACGCCATCAGTCACGGACACGTTCAGCACCGTGAGTTGCTTCTCAGCAAAGTTCTGCATATTCACAAGACTTATTGTCCCGCAGTCCGGATCGATGGTGTACGTTTGCTGATCATTGCCCTGCGCTATGGTGTAGATCAGGCTCGTGTGATCCACATGGTCAGGATCACTCGCCGTCACACTCGTCACAAACTGCCCGCGACTCGCGTGCTCCGAAAGACTGCAGCTGTACGACGACTGCTCGAATCTCGGCGGATTATCATTCATATCAGCCACATTGATCCACACATGAGATGTGCTGCTCAAGCTTGGCACGCCCTTGTCCATGGCAATCACGACAAAGTGATGCACCCGCAGCGCCTCAAAGTCTAGAGATTTCTTCAGGTACACCACACCCTCTGTGGCGTCCATATGGAAGAACTCCGAGGTGTTCTTCGAGTCTGTCTCGATGGCAAACATCACAGCTTGATTAACACCCGTGTCCCTGTCTGTGGCACTCACACGCAAAATCGCCGTGCCGAAGGGCGCCCCCTCGCTCACGGTTACATTGTACACATCCTGATCCATCTCCGGTGGACAATCATTGACATCCGTCACGAGGATGGACGCAGGCACCTCGGCGGACGCCCCGGAAACACTGTCCGTCGCCCGAATGGTCAACTCATAGCTCTGACGCTGCTCAAAATCCAGTTCGTCCACCACATAAATGGCACCTGTGCAGGGGTGGCGAAAAGAGGGTGAAAATGTCATCACACACTATTTAGCATGCACTGAGAGGAATAAATAGCGATATAGTAGTTTGCAAATGGGCGGGAAATTCGAGTGGGCGGAGCTTCGGGCACTTTTGGCAATATTTTGAAAAATTCACGCCTCAGCGAAGCATAAATACGAAACTAGTAAACATCAACATCGACGGGAATTTAACAACTATCCGATTAATACCCACTCTATCTAAAATGCCATCACAAATATTGCCATGAGTGCCTTTTTATCGCCACACGCGAGTTAAAAGTGCCAAAGAGAGAGAGAGAGAGAGAGAGCGAAGAGAGGAAGTTGCAAAAGGAGTGCAAAATCACACGAAAAAGTATCATTTGCATGCATTCACATCTCCCGGTAATGTCATTTTGCTCAGCTACTCTCCGGGCTTTGCACATTTTTTCGGTGTAGTGTAGAAAAAGCGCACATTCAATTTGATTCAATTTCCAACTATATCGATTGAACTATCGCCCGGAAGGATCCACAGGGAAAAATGAATAATGAAAGGTGTCTCGGTCTCAAACCATCCCCAAATGCGATCTTCCCCCCGTTGAGATTCTGCTGATGGTGACATTACCAAACCACCGCCCGCTGTGAGGCGGAAACGTCGGTGAGAAATTTTACATCCATCTTTGACAATCACAAAAGAATGGGGAGCCAAACTCTACACCGTCACGATTCTTTTTCCCCACACTGATTCCGTGTCTGGACATCCATTTTCCAACCCCATGGATTTTTCACCTAATCCCAATTAATCCCCTTGATTTATATCCCAACTCCGTGGGAGACGCATTTTTTATCCTGACACCTACTCAAACTCCGCCAGAGGGTTTCTGGCGAGGAGCTCTGCAAAAATCGAGAGTATTTATTGATAGCCTATAGATTCTGTGTTGTTTTTCAAGAGCGCAGGAAGATCAATTGAAAAAATAAAGTCAAATGGCAGGACTAAAGGCTCTTCTGTTCTTCTGAATGAAAAAAAAAATTAGCAGGTCACTTAATTATGTCAGAACTGTTTTATTTTTGAGAGTGAAAAACGAGTTTCGTAAATTCACAGAACATTCCCTCCGAAATCCTCCAGAATGTCTTAAGATTATCACACTACAAGACATAGATAGTTGAAGTTAATTAATTTTCAGCCAAAATATTCATAACTTTACGCCAGAAGCATCGAAATTTGTAATGTTTTAAATAGTATTCGTAGTTATTCCACTACAAGAAGTCCTTGTACAATTAATTTGAAGCTCAAAATGGTTCAAAGCTTCATTCTATGTCATAAATGAAGCATCTCTAAAGCTCCTCTTTGCTTCCTCTGCTTCTTCTATTGTCCCGAATTGAATTCCACCAATTTCCAGGGATATTTCAGTAAATCTTCTACAGCAAAAGTTTCCCCATGAATTTCACCCCGGGAACGTTGAAACACAACGCCAAGATTAGAGTGTAGTTGTGTAAATTCTCTAAATTTGCTGCACTATTAAAATTTATTGCTACCAAACAAGACACTTAAATGACTCTAAATTGCTCGTTCACCATATTTTCCCTCGCATTACGCGCAAAAGTTGCTCCACTGCCCCGCCAACACAAAAAAGGATGTGACTTTTATCGGTTCTGCCTTTGCTGCTAAATACGCACGATTGAAAATGTTGAAAGAGTGGGAAAAGTGTGGAACTTGTGTATCGATGGCAAAAGTGCGAACCCGCACGGGTGAAAGTAGAGTGAAATGAACGTGCATCATTCTGCCAATTGTTAGAGACGTGGTTTTTGAAGCACAGAGAGAGAGAGATGATATTGAGGTGAAATGGGGGTTGGTAAAAATAAAAGTAACACGCCATGGAAAATATAGCGAGTTCGAGAGTTTGGATGGCAAGTGAATAAATATAAAATAGAGAGAGAGTGCACACATAAACAAAAAAAAGGCAAACACACAACAGCAAAATTAGAGTAAAATACTCACACGAACCACTTGAACCACCTGGAAGAATCGCAGTGTGAGAGAGAGAGAGAAGGGGTGGAAAATTTAAAATTGATTAATCACTAACGTTCCCACTGAAAACTCTATCTAGATTCGATTAGTCGGTTGCGCTTCTTCCTCACCACTGCTCTCAATATATCTCCACATCCATTCTGTTCGGGCCTCTCTCGTTGGGCAAAAAGCGATCCCTCAGACGGGATTTAGTGGTTTGAATTTCGAAACTATGAGAGATTGATTGCTCTTCTTCTCCCCCGCACGAGCACAGCAGAAAATGGGGCTGTTTCCTCCCCCTCATCCATCCAGTCCATTTATTATTCCCCACCATTTTTGTTTGATATTCTCCTTTGCTCCCTTCTCACTTTGCCATCCCAATCAATTTATTCCCTAATTGTTTTTTGTTTTATTCCCCAAACCCGCAATGAAAATGCATTCAAGTGAAAACTTTCACCATTAACTATCACCCCATCCCATGACAGAGCCCTCAAATTTCGCATGTTATTTACACACATATGGAATATAGACAACTGCAGAAGCATGAAATCACAGAGTTAAATATCCCAGCTTATTGCGAGATCCTCTCTCTCTTCGCACATCACTCAGTCTCCAATAAATTCCCATTGCTTTCTCCTGAGCAAATATATTTCCCCAGAGGATTTTCCACACTCCCCCGCCCCACCCCCATCAATACTCTCCGGCGTAATTTAAGCGCCACGGCAAATTGCTGAGATAGAATTGAAATGAAAATTTGTGTGAGATTTTCCAACTATTTGCAACGGCTTTTGTAAATAATAGAGGTGCGCCGAAATTGATGAGCTCTTCTCACTCTTCTCATTTGCACCAATTCTCCATGCCAAATTAATTTATAATTTCTACTAACGCCTGCGAGCGGGTCAAGAAAGGATGTTGTCTGAAAAGGGAATTTGCTAGGCGCTCTATAACACAATGCAAAGAGAGCGAACCTCGAACAGAGAAAAGCTCTTTCGCTTTGCGCGCTAATGGATGTAAAATATATTTCCAGTGAGAGCAGCAGTTTGGCGTATGAAGGAAGCCTTTCCTCGAGATCTAATTTCACCTATATATATATACATCTCAAAATGTTATACATATAAACTTTCAAAATATTCCATAAAACCCCAGACTAAATTATCCTACAATTTCCCTCGTAGCAATTCATCCCCATTACATCAGTTGCAGCACACAATCTATTCATCCATTCAGCCATCATCAAGGTACCCTTTGAGCTCGAAGATGCTACTCACATCCACCACCAAACACATCATCACTTGACACTCAATTCCCATCGTAATAACCATCACAGTACCTTCTCTCGCACAACCAACACACAGGTGTGAGAGTGCATGGCAAAAATTTGACTGCCCTTTAAATCAACAGTTGAAAAGGGAGTAGATAAATTGGTCATCAACGAAAGCAGTGTCGTTCAGTTGCCATTTTGCACATATCAATTGCAACTCATGAATATTGATTTTGTTATCAATGATTTCTCATCACAAAGATTCTAGTGTTCCTCGTCATAAGGACAAGTTGAAAATGTCACATTTTCACTGGAAAATCCACATAGTTTTAGCATTTCTGCCAATTTCGGAGCATTGAAGCGTCACTTCTCCTTTCTACAATCGTGTGATCAAATCCGAAACAAATACTGCGGTGGAGTTGTTTCTCGCCTTTGTATCCAATATCAACAGAACTACATTTCGAACAGAACCAATTTTGTGAATGAACGATAAATTCTATAAATTACTCAACCAATCATTCCGGTTTATCCTTGCATTTTAATGCGAAGAATGGCAGTATGGAGCTCATGGAGGATCAGTGAATTCACCGAATGATGTGTCGCTGTGCTCTCGAGAAGGTTGTGTGATTCGTTTGTGAGTGGCACTCATTTGGGAAACTTTCGCGCCCTCCAAATGTCGCCAAAAGCATATTGTGAGAAATTAAATGCTCACCTGTGTTGAAATCCAGCGCAAACTCCTCCAATTCATTCCCCTTGACAATCGTGTAGATTAATTTCCGCCCAAGAGGACTCTCAGCCTGAATTGACACCGAAAGTGGCGTGTAGAGCTCAACATTTTCCGCCACACTATCTGAGTAGAATTGCTTGCTGAACACCGGCATGGATTTATCAATCACCTGTAACAATTCAGTGTTTATGCAAATCTTCATACATAAGAAAACCACGATGTCTGTATATCATTTGCACACACACCCAAAAGCCCAATTTCTGCATGAATTCAATGCCACACAAAACATTAAACTGATAGCATATTCAATTGATATTGAATTATTGGCTTTTGGGGGGGGAGAGAAAATTTTACCGCAAGCGATGAGTGAATATTGAATTTGAGACATTTTGTTCAATACACAGAACAATAATTAATTGGATTTTATGCTGATTTTCACATATGGCCGAGAATATGATCTACGGACTGTTGTTTATAAAGCAGTATTTGAAACCATTTGAACTTTAGTCCAGGCTAAAATGAACCTCAAATGGGCTAGATTAAGTAGTCATACATATCTATACAATTCAATAACATTTCTATTCCTCTTTAGTTCACTCTGAAAATCAACCATTTAAACTCAATTCAAAGCATTTTGGGTGGAAAGTTTTCACAAAACCATACCGATAAACCTCAAAGTTAATGACATTTTCATTTAATTCACCTCCGTTTTACTGTATTTTTCTCCTCCCCCCCCACCTCCAACTGCCCCCCGTGAGAGTTGGAAGCCAGAAAAAATCATTTTCTGATAAATTGTTCAGATTAAATTTATATTGTGGACCATTTACGAGTACAAAAAAGCAGGGTGTGACGAGAAAGGAGGCAAAAAGTGTCACTCGAATCCACATAAATAAACCCATTTTGCCGTTTGTTCATGCTTCAGGTGTTCAGAGAGTTATTTTTGTGAATCAGCAATAATTTCATATATTGATTTCCATCGATGGTCTTCGCAAGTTATTCAACTTTTAATGCAATTAATTACTGTACTTTTTTTTACTGTGTGTATGTTCACAAAAAAAACACCTCACGAAACCCACATTGAAGTTTGTGACACTTTGCAACTTTTTTTTTTACCGCACACCGTGTGCCGTGAAATCAATCAAAAACTCTGTAGCAGAATCAGCTAGAAAGGCTCACCTTAACGTGTACGGTGACATCGGTGAAGCAGGGCGTAATCCCACCATCGTAAGCCGCAATGAGGAGCTCATAGTCTCGATTGTGTCCCTCGAGTGTCTGCTTCAGCGTCACTTCTCCCGTCTTTCGGTCCACCTTAAACAGTTCTCCATGGCCACGTTTCATCTCGTACCTGCAATGCGAGAATGTGTGCTCAAAGGACTGCATTAAGTACAATTTTCACCCCTCCTTTCAACCCTCATATTACACACTCTCACCCTTGTATATCTGCCGCGGCGGATGCAAATGTAAAAAATTTGATTTTCTCTCTCACCCACATAAGCAGATTAGTTTTTTTTTGCCAGAGTTTTCACGCTATAACGCATAATATACAAGCTTCGTATAATCACAATGTGGAGTTTTCATGCGAAAATCTCACATTATATCTGATTTTATTAACTGAAAACTTACATTTAATCCATACTCAAATATAGGATTATCAGTTATTAAAAGAGAAATTCATTCGTCGACAGTGGCACAAATTCACAGTCGAAATATTGCAAAATTAAGTATGGAAAAGTACGAATCATGAAAAAATGGGATTTATCCAAGAGCTTTCATGGAATTAAACCCTCTCATCAGAACATAACAAATGCACTCAGCTGAATATTTAGGTGAAAAAATTATATATTCAAGAATATTTCATTGGACTTTGTGCATTTCAGCTTGGCTCATATGAAACTTGATGATTGAAGCAACGTTTTCTTCTGTGCCGCACAAATTTCCTCCAATTGATTTTCCATTTAACTCAACTCGACACTCGAAAGCTCAAGGCATGGATGAAGTTCTGCAATTCTCTGGGGTGGTATTCAAAGGCAGCTGATTGCATGCATTCATTTTTGCACTTGCCACTCACCTGACTTCACCATTCTCCTGACTATCCAAATCCAGAGCATGCACTTTGGTAATCACAGAGCCCTTGGGATCATCCACGGACACCACAGCGTAGTAGGGCAGATTGACGAACATGGGACAGTTGTCATTCACGTCCAGAACCGTGACATTCACCACCACGTGAGCCACGCGCGGTCTCTCGCGCTCCAGCGTCTGCGAGCGCGCCTCCACAATCAGCTCATACTTGTCCCTCACCTCGCGATCAAAGCGCACCCCCGTCGTCTCCACCACGCCCGACGTCATGCCAATCCTGAACATGTCCGTGGGATTGAGGATTCGGAACTCGATGTGCTCATTGAGAATCGTGCCCAAGACATTCACCACCGTCACAGTGGCGATCTTGGTGCTGTTCTCCACGATGGAGCCTTCGTAGAAGGCGCGCTGGAAGATGAGCCCAGAGTTCTCCGACGTCTCCACTTGCACATGCACCAGGGCAGTCTTGCTGAACTTCCCGTCGGACACGCGCACCTTCAGGCGATACTGCGACACAATCTGCTCAACATCGCGTGTCGTGATGACACCGGACGTGGCATTGATGCTGAAGACGTCACCCTTGTTGCCCTCAATAATCTCGTACGTGAGTTGCGGCGCATCCGCCACTGTGTCGCGATCCGTGGCCTGAACTTGCACCACGGCGATGTTGGTGTAGGTCGGCAGCAGCAGCGTCACATTGTACTCCTTCTGGACGAAGACGGGCGTGCAGTCATTCACATCCGTCACGGCGATTTCCACCCGTGCCGTCGTCTCGGACGACAGACGAGGCACACCCAAATCACTGACCTGGAAAAGTGACATGGGAGAAAAACACCCCCGCACACACATAACATGAGGAGAGTAGGTGAAAAATGTCACATCTATTAATCGTGGGCAAAAACCATGGAATTCCAACCCCAATCCAACATTTCTGCAATACATAAATCCAAAAACTGTTTGCCTCGTTTGGCCACACGAGGATTTATTCCGTGTGGACGATAATGGCAAAATTACTTAATGAGCGGAGAATTAAGACAAAAACTCAACACTAATTTATGGGATGAATAATTTTTATTGCCCTGCCGTCATTCTCACCTCGTTTCGCCCAACCCGCAGGACAAATGGAGAATGAAAAAGGACACTAATACCACATGGAATCTCTTGAATATGATTTTTCTCCCCTCTGCAAAATCCCATTGAAGTTTCCATGTAATTGTAGAGAGAGAGTGTAAAGTCTCTGTACCAAAAGTGTGTCAAATTCGAAGGATTTGTCAAGTGTTTCTGAATTTTCTTCATTAAGTAATTCTCTATTTAAATATTTTAACAGAATATGTTACAAAGCAGATCCAATTGAAACGTTTTAAGGCAAAAATATAATAACGATGTAGATATGAAATACTTTTAGTTGTAATCTTGAACATATCGAGACCCAAGTAAATACAGAAAAACCTAAAGGATGATGTGGAATTTTTCAACAAATTCTCATTGACTTAATTACGCTAACACACACTACAACGTGACTCACCTTGACATGGAACGTGAAGGCGGGAATCTTCTCGTGGTCCAGCACCATGACAGTCTTGATGGCGCCTGTGGTGGAGTCGATGTGGAAGAAGCGCCTCGGGAGGGCTTCCACAATGTCATAGTGGAGGAAGGCATTGACACCAGAGTCGGCGTCCACTGCCCGGATAACAAGTGGCTCACTGTTCTCCACCATTGTGGTATTGGCTGTGCCATTGGCGAGACTCACGAGCACCAGAGAGCCAATTGAAGCCGCCTCGGAGATGCTGCCCATGTACAAGTGCCGCTCGAAGTGCGGGGCATTGTCATTGCGATCGAGCACATGCACTATTAATGAACATCTCGTTGCCACGGAGGCCATATTTGTGGCCTCAATGGTCAGATTGTAGAACCTCTGTTGCTCATAGTCCACACCGGAATTCGTCGTGACAACACCCGTGGACGGGTTGACAAAGAATGTGTCATTCGCATTGCCCTCCACAATCTCATACACCACAGACGACGTGCTCCGCGCCTCCACTTGACCCACGAACGTCCCCATCGGCTGATTCTCATAAATCTCCGCCGCCAGGTCGTGTCGCGTGAACTTCGGCGGAGCATTGTCCGCCATGTGCACCATTATGTGCACCGGAATCTGCGTGGACAAGGATGGCTGACCGCCATCGCTCGCCTTTACCTGCGACAGAGACACAAATCCTGCCATCAATTTGTGCATTTACACTACTCTATAATGCATAATCCGATTCATAATTGAAGTCTACAAATGCATTATTGGTGAGTCTATTGAAATTTCACAACTCATTCATTAATCCTATAATGTACTCAATATAATCACGCCGCAATTAATTTATTATCTGTGGAAATATCTTTTGGGAAAAATTAACACAGGCCAATGTGCTGTGACATGAAATCAGACTAAAATTGAGTTGGTTTTGACATACTAATTGTAATTTGACTTACCTGAAGCATGTATTCAGCCACTGAGTTCATGTCCAGTTCCTTCGCCACTGCAATCACTCCCATTTGTCCATCCACTGTGAAGACACTCCCAATGTTCCCACTCACGATCGAGTATGTGATCTTGGCATTGTCGCCTTGATCGCGATCCGTGGCGTACAGTTGAACAACCATCGATCCAATGCTCGCCGTCTCGAACACTTTTCCCTGCACGATGCGCGTCGTGAACTCAGGGGCATGATCATTGTAGTCCATCACTGTGATCTCCACACGAGCGTAGTTCTTCTTCGCCGGCGTGCCGCGATCGCGCACAATCACTACAAGCACATGCTCCTTCAGCATCTCCCTGTCCAGCTTCTGTGTCAGGAAAACTCCACCCGTCACGGCGTCCACTCTGAACATCTTAAGTGACGACGGATCCTGGGCGGCGTGAAGGCTGTAGAATAGTTTCTTGTCTGCATCGGCATCTGTGGCTTGCAGCTGAAGGATCTCAGTGCCATCCTCCACGCTCTCAGACACATTCACTCTGTACACGGACTGCGAGAACTCCGGCCGGTGATCATTGATGTCCAGCACGGTAACATAGAGGAAAGCATGCGTGACATGAACGCCATCCGTGACGGAGATTGTCAAATTATACTCTCGCTGTTGTTCCCAATCCAGCTTCTTCACCAGCAGCACATTCCCATTGTCTCTACCGATGAAGAACTCATTGCGATCATCACCCGACACGATGTCATACCACAGGATATCATCATCCTCGTCCGCTGCCTGCACGAGAGTGACGAGAAATCCAGGCTGATCGCTCTCTGTGATCTCAACGTGCTGCTCAGTGTGCTTCACGTGGGGCGCGTGCTGGGATTCCACAGGCACATCCACCACCAGAACACTCACTCTCGTCGTTTGCGCCCTCTTCGGCACCCCAGCGTCCTCCGCACGCACCAGCAGATCGAACTCCGTGTCCACATCAAGACTTTTTGCCGCATACACGATGCCCGTCTCCTGATCCATCCGGAACTTGGCCTTCCCCTTGCCCGACTTGATGGCATACGACACGCGGCCGTTGTCGCCGGTATCCCGGTCGATGGCCAGCACCTGAATTCGAGGCAGAACTTCAGTTAATTCCCATGACATGGGGAGCAGAAATTGCCGTACGAGTAAACACATAAAAGTCAGAATAATTATCATAATTGTTGTCATGCAAGAGGGTTGACAAAAATAGAGTTATTTATCATTGAACAAGCTTTTTTCTCCTCTCCCACCCAAACTTCTTGTGCTCTCTGCCCTCCTTTTTTGTCATCAGGCAAATACACAAAAAGTCAGGGGGGTGAAAGAGACCACCCAAGAGTGTGGGCAAGTCAAAACTACAACGATAAAGGGGTTAATCAATGAAAATGGGCGTCAGAGTTGAAGCAATTATAGATAGAGATAAGGATTATTCATATGTAAATAGTGACTGTCTCTTTACATTCCTAAAAAAAAACCGACAACAGCGTCGTACTTCACATCAAATAAATTAAACTAGAGATTGTGCTCATTTACTATCTTTGATCCTCATCTAAATCTTTTAGCGCCAATACTTTCAACTCTGACATATATGCTAATTCAAACAGGAGCTGCAAAATGATAGAACAAGCCCTACAAATAGTTAAGCACAATACAGAAATGGGGGAAAAAAGCACACATATTTAATTAACTCTAGGGATGGAAGAGCATCAAAATCACGCCCATCGATGAGCCATATGGCGTCCCTGTACATGGCGCAAATACCAAACACTTGTTAGAGCGTGAAAAAAAAATTAAATTACTTCCGAGTGGAAATAAATCAGATTTCTGTGAAGATGGTGCAAAAGAGAATATCAAATAAATTAGATTTCCTTGCAAAAAAGCCCCGCGAATTGGGGAAAGAGAGCGACCCAAAGTACACATTTTTCGCAATGTGTGACAACAACAACAAAAAAAAGTCCGCCCATGACAATGGATGGAATATTATGATTTATTTAATCCAATTATTTATTATTTTGATTGAAATCTCTCTCTTTCCCACCCATAGACTCTCTCTCGCATATATAATGCGAATGTTGTGTTTTTTTTTATGGCTCTGACGAGGGCATTTGGGGCGATGTGTTGATGCTGCTCGTATGGAAAAAAAGGGCAAAAAGGCCGAAAAAGACGAAATAGTAAACAAACTTTTTGGACTGGGACTTTGGACGCGCCTGTGAGAATGCGCGCCTCCCCCAAAATATTCTGTACACATCACACGAGATGGAATGGAATGTGCAGAAAAAAAGACAGAGTATAAAAGTGCAATTGAGGCAGAAAAATTTTATGATATAACACACAGGAGCAGCATTAGTGGGTGGACTTGTTTTGGGGCGTCTCGACAGCACACAAAAAATACACACACACACACAGTGTTTCCTCAAACATTAAATTAAAAGCATGTGTACTCGCTCCAGAACATCCCCAGCGTGATGGCCTCTCGCTCCACATTTCAGCCCATTTATCATGCATTTTAATGATATATGACCAGACCGCCAAATACGCTCTCATGGCGGAAAATTATGCAAACGAAAACGATTATAATTGCAATATTGCTGATTACAATCATTATGCCTTTTGATAGCGGCTCAATATAAGTGCCTGAGCAAACACATGAGACTAATTTTAATATATTATATAAAATATTTAAACAAACATTCGCCCAAATGGCCGCTTCATCCAGCACTTCGCCACCCACAAAATATAGCACCAGACAATTTAGACCGGCGAATTAGCTTAATAACGCCTAAATGTCTCATTCAAATACACGAGCGTAGTTGAAATTTATAGTATTTCAATTAATCACTTTAATACACTTTAGGATAAATTTACCAAGAACACAGACACGTCGCGAAATGCCGTAGAATATACATCACAGTCATGTTGTTGTTGTTTAAAAAACATTCGTCTGTTATTTCACACCATCGTGATATCTAGGACATGATAAAGGCAATGAAAGTTGAGCAACATTTTTCAACACACCGTAAAAAGAAAACTATGAGCACAAACTCTTCACCTTTTTCTCATCAAATACATTGATGTGTTGTGAAAATCACATTGTTTTTTAACGATCTTTTTGATTTTGGAATATTTCTCAATTGTATGCTTTTTATTAATATAGAAAACAAGCTAAAAAAAAACATCAGTGTCCAATCAAACACCTGTGAAAACAAAGCGGCGAGAGTTCAACTACGCTCATGGCATTAAAAACATACATTAACTGATAAAAAGAAAATAAATATTTGCAGCCAATGCGTGAGCAACAATTTTTCCCCAGCATACCAAAACACGTCGAGTAAAAAATCCTCACTCGCCATCAAACTTTATTCCGACAGTCGGCAAACCTAATTGTCCCCCAATGTTTATTGAAATAATCATATGCAAAATGAGACATTAAAAATGTACGCAAATCTCTTTAATAATTCCACAATGACACAGAGTGAAAATCAGCAGTCAAATGTGATAGAAACATTTTGCCAAATAATCACCAGCGCACAATCTCTCTATTTTGCATAATTAATCCAATGATAAAAATGACCGAACCCAAAAAGGACGAAAACAAAGTACGCTGGGAAAATAAATGGGGGAAATTTAGGAGTTAACAAAATACTCACAGTGGAAAAATTTAATTGAAAATCTGTAAAAATGTCGGCAATATAATTAAAAAGTGCCTCTTTGTTGAGAGCAATGGTGGTGAAAAGAGGACAAAAAAGAGGATTTTATTTTACAATCAAATTAATACAAGGGATTTTTTTTTGGGGGGAAAAATCACCAAGAGAATTTCTATTCGGGATGTGATAATTAAAAAAGCTCCAACACATATCGATGACTAAACAAGAGGATGCCCAGCCGAAAAGGATGAAATTGAGTTTAATTCATGTGTAGAAATTTGTACAATATGCTCGCTGAACAAACCGTCACATTCAGCAATGTGCATCCTCTTGTCGTGGCCACAAAGAGAGGATTTTCGACTAGTGAAATAGCAAATTGAGGTTGAATAAAAGGCAACAAAAAATGCACAACAAAGTCTTCTCTTTCAATCCATCGCAACTATTCTGCATGTCGGATAGCAGATTGCTTTTTCTGTTACCCGAATTATGGGTGTGAGGCCGTGGAGAGCGTCTTTAGACCACGACTCCCAGACTTCGGTAGACTCATCAATTCTCCCAGTGGCAATCAAATCCACACCATCCATGCCCTCAAACCGATAATCTCTATCGCTGCTGTAATCACCGTTCTTGGGGATGGGAAAGCGCCAATTTGTGGTCAGGACAGACAGTGTAGGTGAGAAGAGAGAGAGAGAGAGAATAACATAATTTGTGTGTTAACAGACAGACAAATAAAGAAGGGATGCAGCAAAAATTCAGTGAGTGTTGCGCGACTCTCGGGCACAGTGGCAAGAAACACCCATCAATTGTTGGCTTCCAATTTATTGCCAATTACAGCAAAACAACGGAAAGAAGTGCAAATAATCGCCAAAGAGTAATTTGAGTGATTCTAAAATCCCCTTCTTTCTCAATTGTCTCAGGCAATGTGACACGAAAAGCAATAGAAATCTCTAATGCTAGAGATAATTCAGCATATAGTTCAATTTACTCACTGAATTCTACTAGAAATTAGTCATTTCTGTAGTTATTTCATTATTTCATGTATAATAAATCCCAGTTCCTATTTATACATCTCAAACAATCTCTTACAGTTCATAAGTCGCGTGAGTGGTTAAGAATACTGATGATAGTAAGTGTTCAATGAATATTCTCACATTTCTCTAATATTTGTGCACTTCTCCAATAAGTTAAAGTTCTAAACTGTCATATAGACGATTCTATTAAGTAGGTCTTTATGATATTAACATAAAATCTCGTTCTGCCAAAAAAAAACACCTTTGATTTCACGTTCTTTGACTCACGAGCTATTTTAATTGAATTCACCTACTCGCTTTGATCGTTGAATGTCAATGAACAGGAATGAATTTCCCCGGCGGAAAGACAATAAAAGGGGATGCCTATTCTCCAATTCTTCCCACGCTGAGTCTCTGCATCGTCAAAAAAACATAATTTTTCATCTCTAAAATCAAAAGAGAAAAAGAGTCTTCACTTGACGGGAAAAATTGAATTTTCCCCCATTGATTTTGCACGTACGCTATTTTTTCAAGATAAATTAGGTTGAACAATAATCAATAGAGGAGAGAAAAGTGTTCACGTCAATACTTCAATTGCTCCCAAAAAAAAAAAACATTATTTAATAGTCAGAATTACCACAATACAACTGTTAGAAACCTCTTCAAAATATACTAAAATATGGAATATCATTTTACAAATCAGTTTTAGCTCCTCTTCAACAGTGTCATCCCTCTTTAAATGAAGTCAAAATTGAATTCTAGGGTGAATTTCTCGCGGCAAATCAGAAAAAAAAATTTCAGTGTACGCAAGAGTGGAAGCAAAGCAGAAGAATCAAATTCTAAATAACAACCCTCGACAGACTGGGCAAAACTTCTTGCGGAATTTCCTGAACAAGAAGGAGAAAAGTTTCTCCCCGTGGCAACCGTTTTCCAGAAGAGGAAATCAATCCATCAATTTTCTCTTCCACAGAATTAAAGTTCGCACTCTGTTGGTGGAAAATTTCACCTTGTGACAGCATGATGTTTCACATGAAGAAAAACTTTTTCACATGCGGAAGAATATAGAAATCTACACACCACAAGACAATATGTTGAGGATGAATTTTCATAGGGTTTTCCTCATGTCTCTTTTTTTTTGCTTACTTCCTTCTTCTTTGCTTTTTACATCCCACTTTAAGCTAGACAAAGTGTTGGAAATTTATGAATGGGGATGTTTAGAGGGGAAAATAAAAAGTTTACACAACATCTCCAAATAATTGCCCGTTTTTTTCCCACTCCTCTTCTCCCTCTCTCTTTGGGAGCACTTCAAAGAGTCTTCACCAAGGTCTTCACACTTCCTGTTCCACACACTCACACATAGACCAAAAATTCACCGTCAAGCCCAGAAGAGAAGGGAAAAGTTGAACTTACTTGGGTGGAAAGTCGATGAATA